GACTTAGAGAGACCCAGATGGGGTTTTCAGTGAGATAGTGAAGGAGTGGCTTTACCAGTACCACCCCCCCCGCCTGAGTTTCCATGGCCAAGTGGGGGATTCGAATCCAGGTCCCTTGAGCCCTCGTGTGTCGTTCTGCCCACCGCACCATACTGGGTATTCGGCGACTGAGACTTTAAAAAAAAGTTTAAATGTTCAATGGACCCTTTTTCACTTCTTCTTCCCCAACTTCAGGAGCTTGAGACGATGAGCAGATATACCAGCCCAGTGAACCCGGCCGTCTTTCCGCACCTGACGGTGGTGTTGCTTGCCATCGGCATGTTCTTCACCGCCTGGTTCTTCGTGTATCCTCTTTCTGCCAAAAGTAGCCCCATCGAGTGACAAGAGGGCAATCCCAGATGTATGTGGGTTTTTATCCATAGACGCTTGCTTGCTCTGAAGCAAATCTGTTAGTCACCAAAGTGCCACAATAGCTGGAATCCTGTTGCACAGTCGAGCAAACAGCTGACTTTTAGATGCAAATTGTTGTAAGTTAAGAAATCTTTGTATGCATTATCTGTAACACACTGAGTGGCACAACTCCATGTAGAACATGATGGTGAAAATCCTATTATGCTCAACTTAAGGATGCACATGCAGTAGTTGACCTATAATCGAGGTGGAAGTGCTATTCCTAAAGCACTTCTGCTGGCATATCGAGCAGCTGGTCATGCAGGAGACATGTGACCAATTGCACAATTCCTTTTTTGCCAGGAGTAATGCCTGGCACATTTACCATAACTTCACATTAGTTACAGGGACACACACAAGATGCTGGCCAGAGTTTATGGAGATCTATTTACTTAGGGCAAGTCATGCCTAAAAGCTATACCATTTGTGTAATTGCACAATGGGATTTCACCCTCTCCCCTGCTTTTCCCCGTTTTAATTTTGACAATATAAAATATTACTGAGTGATCACCTACCTGCTGATTGTCCCTTCTCTGTGCAGCTTCTGTAAAATGGTCTTACTTACACATAGTTAGAAATTTTGAGATAATGTTTTTTAACTTTGTTCATGTTTATAGCCTACAAGTGTTGCTTCGGATGTATTATTGATAATTTGGTACTGAGAAACAGTTACTTCCTGCTTTTAAAGCTACCCTGGATCTTTACATTCCTTTTGTGCTTCCGAACCCCATTCTATTACACAGAAATTAAAATGTGAGGATTTCTACTATTTTTGTTGGGAAAAGCTTCCCCTCTGGAAGTTGTGGATGTCAGGCTGCTGTAAAAAGCACAGAAGCTAAAAAGAGAAGTAAAGGAAGGGAAGTAATATAGAGGGTGTTAATACTATTGAGGAAGAACATCATGGTATTTTACTAGTATCAGTTTTTCACTGTGCGTTGACCTTCTACAGTCTTCTCTGTCTGGTTATATCTTTAATTTATATGTTAGCTATGAAGTAACCTCTACCAAGTATACTCGGGATATTTACAAGGAATTGCTGATCTCCCTGGTGGCTTCACTCTTTATGGGCTTTGGAGTGCTGTTCTTACTGCTGTGGGTTGGAATCTATGTGTGACGGTAAGCCATGGGCAGTTTCAGGGAGTACCTTTAATTCAGGTTCATGGTGGGACTGTTTGGAATGGGAAAACGTCCACAGAAAATTCTGAGGTGCTGTATTGATAGGATCTGATTTAGCATATTGGACATATTTTGAAAACAATACTGAGCAATCTGGTATGTTAACCTTGGAAATTTAAACATCTCTAGTAGCTGCAGGTATTTGTAATGAAATATTTGGGGGCAGGACAATATTTGGGGGGAGGATCCTTAAGTGCAATGCAATCCTGGACATGTTTGTGAAAAAGTTTAAGTCCCACTGTGGTCGATAGATGTGCAATCATGTTAATACTGAATGTGCTTACCTAGGAATATGTTCCATTGTTCTTTTAAATAGATGTACATAGAATTGTAGTGATTATGTGATTTTAATTTTATATTAATATAAATTCAAATGTGTAATTGGAAATTAACTTTATTTAAACGTTTTAATATGTAACAACATCACACACTTCCTTTCATTATTTAATTTTGAGGGGAAAATTAAAACAAATACTGCTAACATTAACATTCTAGCATACCTGAAGAGCTCTTATGCATTTGTTTTATATACAGTGGTGCTCCCCTTAATGATTACCCTGCTTGATGACGAATCCGCTCCACAATGATGTTTTTGCAATCGCAATTGCGATCGCAAAACAATGTTTTAAAGGGCTTTTTTCGCTTCCCGACGATTGGTTCCCTGCTTCGGGAACCGATTCTTCACATTACGACGATCAAAACAGTTGATCGTCGAGTTTTCAAAATGGCAGCCGGCTGCTCAAAATGGCTCCCTGCTTTTTTAGGAGGCATTTTTCACTGCACAGGCCCCCGAAAGTGGCTGCCCTATGGAGGATCTTTGCTGGACGAGTAGGTATTTCGCCCATTGGAACGCACTGAACGGTTTTCAGTGCGTTTCAATGGGCTTTTTTATTTTGCTTGACGAGGATTTCGCTCTACAGCGATTTCGCTGGAACAGATTATCCTCGTCAAGTGAGGCACCACTGTATGCAACATCCCAGCAATAGTCTCCTGAAAAACATACTTACAGTTGTTAAAATACTGCCTCAGATTGGTATTGCATCCATCCTGGTACTAATCATGTGAAACAACTGGATTTTCAAAATGGAAAATTATTATGGAAAAATTAGCAGTCAATTACAGGAAAAAATGCTCCCCCTCCATTATTGAGCATGATGTAGGATTGAAACTGTTTGATATGTATTTAATAGCTTTGAGAAAAGCATTTGCTTATCAACTGATGTCTATAGACAGATGCTTCTCCCTGCACATTGGCCCCCTTCATATTTTACATGTGAATATGACTATGGACAGTACAAAGACTTGCATCAATAAAGAGAATGGTGTAAGTGGCATACTTTTGTTCAGAAGCTTGCAGATCTGCCCATCAAAGGGTCTGGATGTGTTTGCGTAACATCAAAAGCTTCCATTTTTGAGCCCATTAGACAATTATGGACCCTTCTTTTCTGGAAAGAACTATTCCACTGACATGCTGTCTTCTGACTGAATCAGTAACTATCAATTTCCAAACCTCACCCTGTTTCAAAAGGAAGACTGAGCATATTTTAAGTGCCAGGAGAAACTTCCAAGTGTAGAAACTGCTTTTTCATTATGTTGAGCTTGCTCAGTCTTGATTCTCTGCTCTTGGCTAATTTATGTCATTCAGATAAATACTTCAGAACAAAAGCACTATATTCCTAACCCAAGAATTTCTAGTTAGCTGCCAAGTATTACTTGTACTAACCATGCCTGAATCAGTGTGACATCATATGAGCATATATGTGCTAGTTAGCATCTCCACTGAGAGATGAAATGGTAAAGCTGTAATTGCCTGAAATTCTTTTGCTTATTGTAGTAAAACACACTAGAGTGGGCCTGTTGAATCCATGGGGATTTGCATGGTCAATTCCTCCATAAGCTCTGTTGATTCAAATGGGTCTCCTCTTAATATGTCACAGTTAAGAATAGGCCCATTTGAATCGGTGGAACTTACAGAGGAGTTGACTCACTAAATCCAGTTGATTCAGTGGGCTCATTCTAGTGCAATTTATTGCACTAAGCAACAGGATTAGCATAGTAAATTGCAATATGTAGCTTCCAATAGTAAAACAAAAATTAAAAAAGAGATTGTTTTGACAAAATGGAGGTTGCTGGTATTGGTTATTGTGAAAGGACTCAGTTCACATTCTCATTCATCAAAATTTCCCCCTTTCTCTAGTGGTGGAATTTATCATTATGCACAACTATGACTGCCAGGTTGGGCTTGAGCAGAGTTTGACATTCTGGATTAGGAAGATGGGAACATTCAGTTGTTGTCTCCTGTCCTAAACCAGAGGGTGAGGCTTCATATATCTAAATAGAAAAGTGAAGAGGAGAATGTGTGGGTATTAGGGAAGCTTGGCACAGTTGTGCCAAATCTTGAAACCTCCTTATTGTTGCTTGCAGTATTTGTCAAACCATTGTCGGACTTTTACTCCATGTTCTTGCCCATTTGCAGCCATAACATTGAAAGCTATAACCCATTTTTTCTTCCTTTCAGATTCCAGAAGACTTGCTCAAGCACCTTTTTTTATTTTTGTACTTAATACGGTTCATCATGTTTGAAGACTGAGCAAATCCTAACATTCTGGTAGCCCAGGGTACAATAACATCAGATCAATAAATCTGAGTCTGTGATGAACTAAGCTTATGCTGTTCTTTGTGTTCTCTTTTTGCCACACATTGCCAACTCTCCTCCTACAAACCTATTATTACTGCCTCTGGGGTGTGCCTATACTCCATTATAAAAGGACAGAATACAATAGAAATTTAAATGGCCATTACTATATTTGTTATCCCAAAATGTATGCCTGCCATTATGCTACAAACTATTACAAAAGAATCTCAGAGATTTTGATTCCTTAGTCTCCTTCTGAAATAGTTCATTCTGTACAGTTGTTCTGGAATTATGTGTAGAGCAAAGAGATTCATATAAATTTCTCATTGACATTGTTTTAAAAGACTACAGATGTTCTTGAAATGTATCTGGAAGTTGAGTCATGGCAACTGGTCTTCTTTCTTGTTAGGTTGAAAATGTTTCGCTATTCATCCAAGTATCTTCTTCAGTCTCAGTAAGTTGGTAGGAGACTCCTGATAGATCCTCCCCATTGGTTTCACTTCCCCCTGGTCTGAATAGGCTTGGTAGATGGACAGTGGATGGGGGTGTGAGTGAAATTCCCACCTCTGCAGTCCTTCTCCACCTGTTGAGTGAGGGATTTTCTATATGCACATGTATGGCCTCCCTGACCCCTCTCTCTAACTACCTATCTTCTCGATCCAAAATGAGTACAACTTGGTCATCCAATGAGTGTCCTTTGTCCTTCAAATGAAGGAACAATGCTGATTGTGGTCCTGAGCCATTGCTCCTCCTGTGTTGGGCCATTCTCCTGTTTAGTGGCTGGTTACTCCAATGTAGAACACTCCTCTTTGCATTGGATCGTATATGGTATATTGCTCCTGCTGTGTTTTGGTGTCCGGTCTTTTGGGTTGATGACTCTCTGCCTTGGTGTGTTTGTGGGTTTGAAGTGCATGGGTATGTGGTGTTTACCAAAATCCCTTTTGAGCTTTTCAGACAAATCCGCCATGTAATGAATGATTAGATTCTTCCATCAGCTCTGGGTCTCAGACTGTTCCACTGTCCTCCTGGGTTGGGACATTGCTTTGTTAAAGGCGCATTTTGGATATCCACAGACCTTCAGGGCTGTCTTCAGATGTCTGTCTTCAGACATAGTCAGATGTCTGTCTTCCTTCTTCTTGGATTTTGTGGAGGTGGGGATGTTTCTTTCTCTATGGTTTAGGGTCCTGATGACCCCTAGTTTGTGTTGCAATGCTGTTTGACTCTCATCACCCATTGCAACATAAACTAGACTGAAGAAGTTACTTGGACAAGTAGCGAAACGTTTCAGCTTAATAAGGAAGAAGTCTACAGTAGTTGCCAGGAGTCAACTTCCAGATAACATCACCTGGATGACTGAGAATCTTCACAGATTCTTGAAGTGTACTTGAAAGTCTGGTGCACCATAGTGAGGCCTTTGGTTATGGTTCTTGCCATACTCTCTTTTTTTAATTTTAATTTTTACATTTTTTTAAGTTATACCAGAAGTGTAATATAAGGAGCAGTCCACGTGTATATTCTCTCCTGGTCAACTGTAATAACTGTTAGTAAAAGTCTTTCTGCACAAGGTAGTTTGTGGAGAAATCTACTAGGTAGGAAACACCAGCATAAGTTGGATTGGCCAAGGCAAGGCAGCATGGAATGTGACCAGAATGAAATCACTGCCACGTCGAAATATATTTTGAAATAAGCCAAATCATCATCCTCATCCTCAAGTCTATGATCTGTGCACACATCTGGTATTTATTGCACGTTTGGTCTTTTCCTGCAGTAGTAATTTGAAGCAGAAATTTAAATATACAACAAAGGTGTAGTTTGCAAGTCTATCCTTAAGCTAGATAAAAAGACCTGTGAAGTACAAGAGCACTTCACAAGAAGGATTCCCTCAATGTGAGGCACAGCTGTAGAGAAGGTGTTCTAATGGGAATGTTCTTGGTGAAATTTTTAAAAGATGCTGTGGTCACTGGGAAGAGTATACAAGCTGTATGGGAAGACATGGAAAACTAGGTGCCTTGGGGATGGTGCAGGGAAGGGTAGAGGGAAGAAAATCCCTGAACAGTCAGGATGTTTTGGTGAAAAATTCTATTTCTAATTTAGCAGACTGCATAAGCTGGAAATAGATTATAAATGTACAGAACTGTACTTACATTAAGGATATAAATCACATCAATGGTTTAAGTGCAGATATAAACCTTTAAGAGCAGCATGAAGAAAACTGTGGTAAGATGCTAAAGAATCAAAACCTTAATAAAGATAACATCTTGACCCTACTGAGAATCAAGCATGTTTAAACCGGATTTAAACACATAACGTATAAGCAGCACAATTTGCTTTGTGTGTTTGTTTTACATTGCAAAGGTTAAAGGTATAATGTGACTTATAATAGGAATCTTAGTTTTGATTGTGGATGTGTATCTTCTAAGAGTGGAGACTGTTTAAAATAAATCCTAGATCTACAATAATTGAACATCCACTTAAAGAAACTGAAGAAGAGCAGAGGAAAGCGTAGCCCCTGAAACTGTGAATGTCCTGCTTTCTGTTGGTTTTTGAATGAACCATACTTTTTGCTCCAAGTCACTTTTCAATTGAAAGTGGTTGTATTATCTGAAATAGATGAGAAATGGGAAACTGATTTCAGAATGTGTTGATTTTTGAAATCTTGTGGTATCTTTGAAAAGGTATCCAATACCTAAGGAGCCTGCTGTCTTCATGAAACATGAGCTGATAGCAGTGTGTACTGTCCTGATAAAAAGATAGACACCTAAATAAAATACCTGGGTAACTGAAAATGTTGCTCACTCCTCTACAGATGGTCTCTTGGCCCCAGCCCAAGTAGACAGATATACTGAAAGCTGCAAACCAATACACAACTACTGGGAAGTTCATTTTGCCCACATGTGTGCAGCATCTAGTGCAGGTAATGTTTCTTACTAGGTTTTTGAAAATCCTTTTACAAATCTGATGACTATATGAAACTGAGCAAAGCTCAGAAGTCACTGCTGAACACTTTTCTACTTGAGTTGCATCCATATCTTATTACACTGCTTGGAACAGTTTGAGCCTCTAAGATGGAAGAAGCAGCCAAGAGTCAATCGTGGATACAAAGTAGTATACTTATATTTATTTATATAGGTACATTTCTTATGAATAAAAGTCTAGATAAGCAACACATATGTTGAGTCCTGAGCACCAGCACTCGAAAACAAAAAAAATATATAAATAAAAATCAGAAAGGGAGGCGGTAAGGGTAAAAGCCACCACCAGAGCAAAATAACAGTAAAAACTTAATATAGTACTCACTAAGGTATGACTCTGAAATTGTTGGCAATATACAGTGATTAAAGCTGCGATAGCAACATTTAAACAAAACAAATTAGTGCTTTATCTTCCTTAAGGCTCACAGTGATGGCACACAACTTATTTACAGGCTTTAAGCTTCTAGAATAAGAGACAAAATAAGGGTTTATCAATTTTCCTTTGCGAAGTCATTCCTAACCCCTCAGAGCAGCCAAACTTCAAAAGATGGCTCCATATCCACCTCCATTTTCCTTCTCACCTCCCAAAATGTCTAGATAGTTCCAGCTCTAAGGAAGCCAACCTCCGGCTAGGCAGGAGGTCCCTACTCAGAGCTCCCTCTATCAAGCCTAGGAAGAAGTTCCAGTGTTAACCCTTCACTCTTTCATTTTAGGCAAGGATGTAAATGGTGTAAGTGGGGAGAACACTTCTTGAGATGGCTGAGTAGGGCAAATGTGCATAATTGACCAGTCCACCCAGTATCCTCATGATACCAACGGAGACATGGACAGCTACTGACCTACAGTGAAACTTCTGCTGTCCCCCCCCTTCCCCCTCCCCTGGGATGACAACATGCGATGTAATGACAGTAAGAAGTTACAGCATTATAAAACAACAACATTGATCTAAAGAGCACTACTGTTACCATGGATTATGCATACCAGATTCTGAGATAAAACACTGACACGAACTGACCGGTAAAAATGTTTCATATAAGTAAAGTGATTCTCTCTTATTCCACCTGATAAACTGGGAAAAGAATAAAGTGATTGGTTAATTTACTTCTGACGCCATTATGTTCTTGCTACCTTCACCCAAACAGGTAACAAATTGTGGATGGATGGTTATACCTTTTTTTAAAAAAAATGGGGGAGTGGGTAATGGGATAGTCAGGTCAAAATGTGAATGTCATCTTCAGATTGTTTCTAATTCACTGGTGCTGAAGCACCAGTCTAAAGGTTTCTTATTGCCTATCCATAGCAAAGGAGTGTTTCTACTTCCTGCTGGTGATGGAAAAGAGGACAGCGAGCAGATCCCCATCAGAATTAAGATGGCAACAAGGCCTCTCGGTACTGCTTAAGAGGAGCTGCAAACCCACTTCCACAGGACATCCTCTGTATTATTCCAGTGAGACAGAAGCCCACTGTATAGCAGCTTTTCCTCCTCCTTCTTGGAAGCCCCAACCCACATGGGAGCAGCTCAAGCTGTAGGAACTGGATTATCCCAATGGATAATACTTTATACTGCTCTGAAGCATGCGAAGAAGTAGCACTGTCGTAGCTCCCATTCAGTTGAAGCAGTGCACGAATTGCCCCTATATGGCTAAAAAAGATAGTTGGCACACGGAGGGCTCCAGGAGCAAGGGAATAAAGAGCACTGAAAACCAGTCTCAGCCTCTTGTTGGTGGAAAACAGGGCATGCCAGTTTGGTGGTGAAGGCATTTTGCCACATGCCTGCATGTTGAACAGATATGGAAAGAGGTGCACTGTCACAATGCACCTTCACCATCAGGTACTAGAGGCATGGCCCCAGTGGAGATTGCATGCAAAGCAAGGAGACCTGTCTAATGGATAGGGTCTCACAGACTAAGAAAAATGCTGGAAGAATGGTGAATTCAACTAGGTGACACTAAATTGACCTTGTGATATTTGTACACTGACTTGGCAATTACAGCTTGCCGTAAATAAATCACCTGCTCTAATTCATTTGTAAGAGGAATAAAAATAAAATAATTCACTGTATATATATTTTTTCTGGGGAGCAGGAAGACAAACCAGAGTTTCCTTGCATCTTAATTTCCTTTTAAAAACCTTACTCTCTCACCAGAGAGTAAATTTTAAAAGAACTGGCTAGGTGTCAAGCCAGGTCAAATTAGAATATAGTAGTGGTCAACCTCTGCAGTCTCGGAGCCTCCTAGGTATCACGAGGGAAGAAAACAGAGTGAATAGAGGAAGAAGAAGCAGAAGTGATCCCCAGGAGCCGGAGCAGATGTGACTCTCTGCCACTTAGCATTTTTGGTAATAAAACTTTGACGAGTGACATATTACTTTTGCATTTTTGACATTTGTTGCAAGACTATTTGCATATGTGATGTATAATATTGGAATCCTAGTTGTGACTGGAAGGACAGATCCTGAAGCTGAGGCTCCAGTACTTTGGCCATCTCATGAGAAGAGAAGACTCCCTGGAAAAGACCCTGATGTTGGGAAAGTGTGAAGGCAGGAGGAGAAGGGGACGACAGAGGACGAGATGGTTGGACAGTGTCATCAAAGCAACCAACATGAATTTGACCCAACTCCAGGAGGCAGTGGAAGACAGGAGGGCCTGGTGTGCTCTGGTCCATGGGGCCACAAATGACTAAACAACAACAAGATGTGTCTACTCAGAAGGAAGTCCCATTCAAGGAGCTTACTCAGAGATAAGGAAGAACCGGACTGCAGTCTACAATGAGTTCCACAGTTTTTAAATTTGTAGTTTAAATGCCTTGGCTAAAATGGCTTTTCTCTGCTTTCTGCCCTGTGCTCTATGCCATTAATAAACTGCACGCTCCAGTCTGAATGGTGCTGATCTTTGACTTGGCGCCAAACTAACTGTTAAGAAGGAAAAAATCTAATCACTGATCTTGAGCATCACATATCCCTGTGCCTAGAGGGCACTTCTTTCTATACGGCAGGGCTTGAGAGTATCGCTCTGTTTTATGGAGAGCGATGCCATCTGCTGGTTAATGTGAGCAACTGTAGCTGCACCTTTCTTAGAAACTTGTTCTTTGACCTGCCATCCATTGAACGGTCAGATACACCAAGACCATCTCTCTCACTGCCTTCCCTGAATCTCCACATCTTCGGTGTCCCATGCCTTTTGTGCCCATCTCTGCCATTACCACTGAAATGGGATGGCAGAGCACCACCTGCCATCTTTCCTGATGATCACTCACTCATGGGAGTACAATATACAGCTTCATAAAGAAACACGGCAGGCAGAACAAAGGCACTAAAAACCTGCACAGAATGTTTATCTACACATTACCCAATTATGATGGCATCCCCCAAAGAATGCTGGGAACTGTAGTTTGGTGATGGTGCCGAATGTCTATTAGAAATACATTAAATCTGCAGAGTCAGGAGGTTTATTATTTTGATTCAGGATCAGCTAGAAGTGCCAGAAGCTCGGCACTGTTCCTTATCCTTATCTTCCCTCCCCCTCCCTCCCCCCCTGCAACCCCACCTCACCATGCTGCTGTTTGAAATCTTATACAGAAATCTATTTAGCCTATTTTACAAAAAGCCAGAATCTGACCGAGTAGCCTAACCTTCCTCTTTTGCATGAGGGTAAAAACCTGATGTGCTGGAGGGTTGTCCCATATACTTCTATCCCAACTCATTCCCAGCACAGAGTGCAGATACTAGGTAGGTGCAGGCTGGTGCTCAGCACTGGCCTACTTTGGTTTTCCTATGAGAGAAAAACAATTCAATAGTTAAAGGAGCTCAATTATATATATATAAAAGATTAGTGGTTTAGCAAGTTAAAACCTTGTAACAGTAAGTTACCCAAAATATAATCAGAATTCCAAGGATATTCACGGCTTGGAGTGGGGGGAAAAAAGGTGTGCTGTTTGATGCCTGACAGAGAGACCCCTTGGGGATCAAAAAAACTTTTCAGTCTGGATATTTTCACTGTAGGGCAGATCTCAGCTGGTGGCCTCCATCCAGTCTCTGGCACAATGTGGCAGTGCTCTGCCAGGTGCTCTTTGGGACAAAACTCATTTTCACTGCTTGAGAAGGGGCTTGAGAAGATTCTCCCAGCATCTAACACAACAGTGGAACCATAAGAGTCCAGTCCAGTGGCAAAGTTCAGAGACAGACCCTTGGAGGAGACTGGGAAGGAGGAGACTGCCTACAGCACATAGCTGGCTTTTGAGGAGCATCTCTATCCAATCCTGAAAAAGAAGGCACATTGGGAGCAAAACTAGCCTTTTGCCTGAGACTTGTGAGGTTCTGGAGGTTTGTTCTCCATGGAATGTAAGTACGTGGCAGAACAGACAGGAAGAAGCCAGGGGCAAATCCTATAACTTTCCCATCAGTTACTGCTGTTCAAAATGACCGTCCACACGTTCCAGTGTCACCAGGACTTCTGCAGAGCATAACGTTAAAGAGAACTGGCCGCCTGCCAGCCAGATCAGAAACTCCAGTGTATGACTTCCAACTGTGCCAGGGATAAAAATATTCCTTTACAGAAAGAATCCAGTGTTTCAACTTTAGTACAAGACTTCCAGAGACATCAATGAAATGTTTCACTGTCTTAGAAAGTTGTTTCATTGGCTCTCTGATATTGAGATCTGTTCCTAGCCAAGCTGTATTTTGCAGGTCGGATGTGTCCAGATGAACTGAACCCAAGCATGGTCCAGTGTGGGAATGTTCAGATCCAGTGAAATAAGGAGGGGAAAAAGGAAAAGAAAAGAAAGGATGTGGAGTTCCTATAACAAGTTAAAGGTGGGGAAATGCCTCATATGTCATTATTTTGCTACTGGCAACATTCCTCCAAACTTGTGTGACATTCTAATGTCGACATCCCACCACTAGAAAGAAGAACGAACTGAGCTCAAAGCTCAAAGCGGAATGGCTTGCAAATCAGAGGCAACAGGATCAGGCTTGGGGTTCACGGAAGAGATCATCCAGTCCATCATGAGTCTCGCGGGCCCACCTCAGTTCTTGTGAAAAGGGCAGTGGTGCCCCTTGAGGCTCACTCACAGAGCCAGTAGAACTGAAAGTAGTAGTCGGTAAAGACAGAGCCCATTTGATCCACAGCAGTACTGCAGTTTGCTTGGCCCTGTACCGAGAAAATGGTGAAAAGAAGACAATGTTCAAAGGGAAGTGAAAACCTTCTGGGAAAACAAGCACAGCTCTTCTCTATGGAATCAAAGGGGTTCTACAAGGAATCACCAACTTTTTGTTACTGGAAGGAACCCTGTTGGGCACAGGAGCTCAGCATCACAGGAGAAGGCTGACTGTTACCTGAATGGGCCCTGCCTTACTCTTTGGTTGGATTTATCTGTGCCTTGCTCAGATAATACAGAACCTATGCTATGCATAGCTAGACAGCACAGAGCTGAGCTTCCTGTCCAGGTAACTGGGGACAGGGTAGGAGCAGACATCCCATCTCAAATGAACTATGAACATGTATTCCATGGGCTCAGCTTAAGGGGAAAAAGACATTTGTGGTTGCCCCAGGGTTCCTTAATCAATTCCAGACCCACTTCCTACAAAGTTAGGAAATACAGGCCCATATTGTTGCTGTTGATCTGCAGAAGCTCAAGGGTTCTCCCTACACAGGGGCTCTGGAGGGGATGAAAGTGATACTTGTGGGTATCAACAGATGTGATGGTAAAGAATTTGGATTGTGCCATTGGAACCAGTATGTAGGTCTGAGACTACATGAGATGTAAAATTTCCAAAAATTTCCATTTTTTTCTGGGGAGAAAACTGTTTTTCCCTTTCCCCCCCTCTGGAAAAAAATGGAAATTTGACATATCTAACAGAACTTAAATATACAAAGTCTAAGAAGTATTTCATTAAGGTATTTATATAGTATGAATACCATGTCACAGACATTATTTATCATTGTAAAATAACATATTCCACATGCTGTATTTTTTCCATTTTTCCGGGGGGGGGGGGAGAATCAACTTTGGGGAAAAAAGGGAAAAAACCCACAAACTTCTCCCCCCCCCAATTTTTCTGAGTTTTTTTTTCCAGGCCTTTGCATCTCTAGTAGTCTCACAGATGTATAGGCTGGGATAAAATAGATCTAAATCTTCCCACTGAGAATTAGGACCTTTTCTTATCCATTCTTCAAAAGCTAAGAAGGAATATAAATCCTTGATGCTTGTGTCATTGCTGAACATAGATATAATCTGCACACTCCTTTTTAACATTGGTTTGGTTTTAGACTTCTTAGTTCTCTTTACCATCAACACCAGACTAATTCTGGAGATTTCACTGGGGAATGATTCCTGTGTTGTCTTAGACATACTCCCTCTTCCCCAGAAAAAACTAAAATGTTGTCTGTTGGAGAGGATACAGAAGTGCCCTATACTCACAGGCCTTGTGAATCGGAAATGGTAGGTGAACTCCTGGAATGGCATCATCACCACAGGCCAACGGTATGTCACGCCCTACAGAAGGAGGCAAAATATGTGTGTTCCATGTGTCAGCCATATGGTTACTGTACTTAGAAAGAATGGTTTAGCTAGATAGAACTAAACAATTAAATACACTAATGACCATTTACAAAAGTAGTTTACATATGATGAATGGGTAAGCATACACTAATTCCCTTCCTGTAAACCCTTCACATGTGATCTTAAACAATATGAGTTAGAAATGGTGCTCCTTTCTGTTTCTAGTATGCCCATGCCTTATACGTATAGCAGAATTTAATACATTACTCAAAATTAAGACAACTGGGTTCAGTGGTGCTTACTTCTCAGGGGAGTCGGATACAAAATTGTTAGCCTTAAAACACACTCTCTCTCTCTCTCTCTCTCACACACATTTCTTGAGATCCAAAGGGCATTCACTCAAGAGGGTGTGCCAAATGAGGACACCAGGTACCCCTTCTGTTAGGAGCAGGAGCTGAGATGTGGATTAGTTCTCTGGCTGCAAAGCCCTGTGCTGTCAGATATATCTTTGGGCCGTCAGATATATCTTTGGGTCCTACCTGGGTTTCTGCTGTATCAGAGAAGCTGTCTGTGTTCACACCATTGTGTTGACAGGGGCTGCTGGAGGTGAGACTACAAAGGTAGGCAGAAACAGTAGAGGAGACACTAGAAAAGAAAAAAAGTAGAGAGAGGTTGAGTAGTTTTAATAGGCTTCTCTGCCTGTTGCAATCTTCAAAGTGTTCAGAGCTGTAAAAGAAATATAAACAAAGCAACAGGGAGACACAAAGGAATGCATCCCAGTCCTGAAAGTAGAGGCAGAAAGGTTTGCCATTTCAATAGCAACCAAGAGCATACAGGATCTTAGTTGTCATTAGTCTCAGTATGCATTTTCTTCCTTCCAATATATTTCTTGTGGTTCAATATTCTTCTAGAATGACCCCACTTTTCATTCAACTATTGCAACCATTTTTTAATTTCTCACATATTAAGGACATTATGCCACTCCCAATCTAATTCCTTGCTTACATTTCTAATGTCACCTTAGCAAAGCTTGGAAAGGTTGCTTTTCAACTATTCTGGCAGTTATCCAAAAAAGTAACTTTTTTCAAGCTCTAAGATTGAGGCCACAGCCCTCCTGGTCTTCCTGCTTCCCCAAGAATCTGTTACAGATCAAAACCTGTAACCTAATCCTTACTTACTTCATCTCCAAGGTAAGATTTGTGTTCACTGAAGTAAACTTGCTGATGGGGATGCGGTAAGTGATGTTCCCTGTCCTGTAGGCAGAAACAGAGATGGGATATGTAGCAAAGCAACTGAAGCACAGCAGGAAAGCATGCTGTGTTAGAAGCATAACATGAGCCACACCCATCATCTGCTGAAGGAGAAGAATGAAAGACATCAGTGCTATATCGTATGAATCACAACCCCTCAAGAGTGCTTGGTAGGGGAATGGCAATTCTTCTATTCTGTATTTTGAAATACTGTTATTTAAACACTCCCAAATATCATAGCTGTGACAGAACACAAGGAGAAAACAAAATATTACATCCTCCCACAAAAACGGAACCGTTCAGAGATGATCAGTAGTGTTTTCTTCATGCAGGAAGCCACTGGACAAGCCATCAGGTGATCTAGGATCACCCACTATTGTCTATTCCAGTTTTTTTTTTATAACCTCGCCACTTCCGGATGTTTTGGACGCTAACACTCCGTCCACCCTGTTTAGCCCAATGGTCAGCAATATAATGGAAGCAGCAATCCAAGTCAGATCGACAACAACAGTTTGCCCTGACCTGCAGTGATTCTGCAGTGATTCTGCAGTATCTTCAACTGAGATTTCACTTTCTATCAAAGTTTTTTTAAAAAAAAAATTCCGGCTCTGTAAGATGACAAACATGGGAGCTTTTGCATGCCAACCAGCTACCACCCAGCTGTTATTTCTAGGAAGAGCATTTAATTTCCCATCACCTCTGCAGAGCAGACCTTCCTGCTGGGCTTCATATGCACACAGCAAATAATTTTCAAGTCACTGATCTGATCTACGAAAGACATATGACAAAAGAGAACACATGGAAAAGTCCTGTACTGATTTATTTTCTTCACAGGTACTTAGATGACTCCACCTCTGTCACCACTGTAAGCGGTACATCCAGCGTCTAAGAACCACCAAGCTTAAGGCAGGGCGCTCTCTCCTCACACTCACCTGCATTCGTCACCAGCCACACAGGCCTGGGGTACAAGGGCCACATTACTCTCCACGAGGGATACAGTTTGGAGTAGAGGAGCTGCTCCTAAAAGAAAGGATCAGGACACAAGAAGGAAAGTCACCAAGCATGGGAAATAAAGCCAAGAGAGTGAAGACCAATTTCTTCTTAAAAGATGAAATCCATTCGTTTCTGAAGCGTGAAAACCAGACTTTCATCTGATGTGCACAGATCATATATACTGCTTGTTTTTTTGGGGGGGGGGTTGGTTTACACTCCCCCTTGCTATCTCCCTTGAAACAGCAATAATTACCACTCCTTTTTGCCGGCTAGGTCCAAAATCCAAATTAAGGAAAAACATACACATAAGGCAATCCTGCAAGCAGACTCTTTCCCCCACCCCACCCCAAGCATCCAGTTGCCTGCCCGATCATGTGAGTGGCTGCAGGGCCAACTGCAGAATCCATGGAAGACTGGGCATGTGACAGACAGCCCAAAGAACAGGGCATAGTTGCCCTTATGTGGTTGCACAGCGCAGTAGGATTCTACCCTATATAGTTTAATGCTGTAGTGGTTCTATTTCTTCTTCTTTTTTGTTCCAGAGAAGAAGAAAATATGGCATTCCATCTTTGATACCTATGCTCTTTTTAAAATGGAACACCATTTTCCATTCCATTTATCTCATTGACAAATACTCTTTGGTTTGGTGCAGAGTAGTTGAAGGAAAATAGGGCCAAGATTTAAAAGTAACATTTCTGAACAAGAAGCAGCAATGACAGCAATACAGAAAGAGCTTTCTGTTGCACTCAACTGAGATGATAACCAAATAATAGGGGATGTGTCCTACCTATCCCATGCAATGGGAGAAGGCAAGCCATAACAACTCAAGAACTTTAGCTGGGTGCAGTGCAAAGTAAGTGCCAGATTACATGGGTTGATCAGGGAGGATCACAGCACTCCAGATGTTTGTGGCCTACAGCACTAGAACTACCAGTGGTGAGAGGTCCAGAGTTGCTATTCAAGAACATCTGGAAGGACACATGGTGCCCACTCCTAACCTAGGAACCACCTAAGCATATGGAACCACTATGGTTCCAAAGGGAACCACCATATTTACTTTATTATATTGTTTTTATTTTATCTATTATTGTTAGCCGCCCAGAGTAGTAGACTTCAGTCTACATAGTGGGAATCATCTGAGTGTTAATGTTGTGAGCCGCTTTGGATCACTTGTTGGGAGAAATGCAGCATATAAATAAAACTAATAATAATAATTATAATCTGTGGAGCTCTCAAGAGGTTGGCTTTTTTAAAAAATGAAATGCCTAAATAAAATACAGAAGGAGGAGTGCTTACCATCATGGTTTGACTCCTTGGGACCTGGCTGGCTAAGGCTACGTCGCTGTCGTCCCTGTCCCAGGGAGAAGCTGTTATGTGACAGAGGAAGGTTGGACATGTATTTGGATTTGCCCTGGATATGGGTGAAAGGGGCGGATGGGCTGGCATTGGGGCTGCCAAAGCCCCGTGATCTCTCAGAAGTCTTTGGCCACTTTGTGTGAGAAGCCACTTTTCCTGTGACTCCCCTTGATTTGGCTTTGATGTTGGTCACTGGCAGAAATGACCCGAGGCTTTGGTCTGTGAGGGAGAGAGAGAGAGAGAGAGAGAGAGAGAGAAGAACAACAATAACATCATCGTAAGCAGGAGCATTTAAGAAGAGATAAGGAAGCAAACTAAAAAAAATTGTTTGCACTGAGGTGGTAAACCTGTGCCTGGGCTCCACCACTTTAGATTCTAAGTAGGATTGCACACGATTGAAACCAACAAGCAAACAAATCCCTCCCCACAGAAAATAAATATGCCACGGAGAAGGCTAGTTTAGAACCTCTCTCCCATGCTAGTTTTCTATATGGAGGGATTACTTACGCGTGTACGCACGGACACGCAAAGAGAAGAATTCAACCATGTTCAACTGACATGCTACACCCTAGATGCAAGTCTCTTTCCTCAATGAGAACTAGGCTTGTGGAACACCCACCTGCCCCCCACCAGCAGCTCTACCTCAACCCAGGCATACTTCCCAGCACAAGCAGCACCCGGCTAAATGCACAGAACAATGCCCAAGGCATCTGCACAGGAAATAGATTGTGCCAAGAAAGTGATGGGTGGGCAAGAGTCCTCACTCCATTTACTTCAAACAACTTATACGAACTCCTAACACTGCCGCCTTGGATCCCTTTTAAGCAGAAAGGTGGGATAAAAATATTTTAAACAAACAAACAAACACTGAGGCATCCCCCCCTCCCCTGTATTCAGGAACTGCAGTCTTCAAAGCTACTCCCAGAAATAATGCAGGGCAGGTCAGATAATGTCAGGAAACTAGATAAAGCTTCCCAAAGCGATGGCGTTGAGATATGTAAACTGGGCATATACAGTGTACCAATTCTCAGAAATACATCGCTTTGAAATGAAAAAATAAAATGAAATTCTAAGCCTTGAAAGCCCTCGGCCCCCCCTAACTTGCTTTCCTTTGTGGAACTAACTTGACTCGCTTTAAAAGGCTGCAAGGCGTGTCCTATGGCTTAAGGTGGTTTGCTCTGTAATACCCACATCCTGGAAATGCTTTCATGAAGCTTGGTGCCCAGAACATGCGCACACAAAAAGCTGGCACACATATATCTGCTCTAGATGACAATGGAAGTGGCATATTGATTTTCTAGGAGAAGGCCAAATGCAGGAAGAATGAGTGAACTCACAGTCAGTTTCCCCACAAACACTTTGGCACCAGTTCTCTGTAACTTCTGAGGAAATGGTGTTTACCTGTCTGGTTTGTGGCACCTGTGGTGGTGGTGGTCTCAGAAGCTGCCGCAGAAGACACATTGTTGGAGACCGAAGGACAGCATATAGAGAAACAGGGTGGACTGAAACATACTGCTATACTTTGAGCGGATGAACCGTAGCGAGAGTCAGGCACATGAGTCGTGGCTGTAAGATCGAAACAGCACAGGCAGGTCAGCGACAAAATGACTCAAAACGGAAGTGGCAACCAAACACCTCCCACGTGGGATGCTAAGGTGGGCCTGCAAGTCAGCAAGAAGCCAAACAGGCAGCATCCTGCTAATATACTCTTTTGTCGCTTTCTATGCACCAGAAGGGAAGGCACATTTCAGCATTACCTTTTGTGTAAAGGGAGCCTTCGGTGAAGGGGAAAGTGTCTAATCAGGAAAGACAAGCAACGGTAAAAGCATTTATCCCAGCAGCTTCTACAGACAACTTCTAGAGGAGACCCACATGCAAGGAGGCTTCAGGGCCTGCTGAGTATGCTGGGAGGACTGCAGATTGCAAAGTGTATGTCATTTGCCTACAACGAGAACAAGGCTTGTCTCCATTGTTGCCCTTGCTAGTAAGATATAAAGAGGGCATTCCAATTTCTAGGCTCTGGAGTGCCTCCGATGTATATCTTCAAGCTGCAACATAGATCTTCCCCCTTGGTGTTTGAGGGTTTGGGGCGGATGTAAGCATCACCTCTTAGGATGGGTGAAACAGGAATTAGCCTTGGCCATAAAACATGCTGTAGAGAGAACAAACATGATTTACTCCTCACTAACAATCAGGAGCTCTCTGAGCCTAAGAAAGGATGTCAGTACCAATAGGAAGGTGATCTTCCATCTACGGTACATTCTTTAAATGCAGCGGAAAGCACAGGCTCCAAAGGTAGGCCTGTCAGGAACTCTGGTACCGTGTTTCCCCCAAAATAAGACAGGGTCTTGGACGCTGGACCTGGATCCATTATTGTACTACAATGTGTGTCCTGCATCATGTCTGGAAAAACTTCCACATAGCTAGAGGTGAGATGAACGTATAAGCGCCTCAAGTATAAACTCCAATTTCAGTTGTTAGAGCAAACCTCAGTATGCACCATTGTAGCCAATGAGGGTTTGTGTGAGGAATCAACCTGTGGGACAGGACATTTGGTCTCTGCAGAGCTCCATAGGGTCTGACTACCAGAGCCTCCTGGGCCCATGTAGAGCTATTAGAAGAATAGTCACAAAAGGATACAATCCATGCAACCGGAGAGGCAGAAATGCACACAGAAGCCATTTGCTGGAGACCACACTGGTTCCTCCAGTATCCGAATCAAGTTTGCTGTTTTATCGTCATGTTCTTCCTTGTTCTAAACATATTATGTTGTTGTTGTTTAGTTGTATCCGACTCTTCATGACCCCATGACCAGAGCACGCCAGGCCCTCCTATCTTCCACTGCCTCCTGGAGTTGGGTCAAATTCATTCTGGTAGCTCCACAAACACTGTCCAGCCATCTCATCCTCTGTCGTCCCGTTCTCCTCTTGCCTTCACACTTTCCTAACATCAAGGTCTTTTCGAAGGAGTCTTCTCTTCTCATGAGATGGCCAAAGTATAGGAGCCTCAGCTTCAGGATATTTCCTTCCAGTGAGCACTCAGGGTTGATTTCCTTTAGAATGGATAGGTTTGTTCTCCTTGCAGTCCAGGGGACTCTCAAAAGCCTCTTCCAGCACAATTCAAAAGCATCAATTCTTCGGTGGTCAGCTTTCTTTATGGTCCAGCTCTCACTTCCATACATCACTACAGGGAAAACCATAACTTTGACTATGCGGACTTTTGTTGGCAAGGTGATGTCTCTGCTTTTTAGGATGCTGTCAAGGTTTGTCACCGCTTTCCTCCAAAGAAGCAGGTTTCTTTTAATTTCGGGGCTGCTGTCTCCATCTGCAGTGATCATGGAGTCCAAGAAAGTAAAATCTGTCACTGCTTCCATATCATTCCCCTCTATTTGCCAGGTGGTGATGGGACCAGTTTCCATGATCTTAGTTTTTTTGATGTTGAGCTTCAGACCGTTTTTTGCACTTTCCTCTTTCACCCTCATTATATTAATTATGGAAGGCCCTAATTCCTGATGGACTTCTTCAGATAAATAGAGTACTCTCTTTGATTTACATCCTTCTTGCTGAGTCTCCTTGCTCTGGTACATTCCAGTTTCCTTCTGATACCACTGCTTGGTTGTTATCATGCCATCAACAGGTTCTCTGCCTCCTCTTGTATACTGCTGGAACATGAGCCTACCAGGTAGGGGCCTTCACATGTTGCTTTCCAGACCAAGATTTATTTATTTATTTAATTAATTAATTTATATCCCGCCTATCTGGTTGGGTGAGGACCACTCTAGATGTGTTTGTTCTCCAGTAACCTTGTAAAAGGCCTTAAGAAAAGGCAAATGGTCCACAGTTTCAGCCAGTTAATCATGTGAGCTATCTCTTTCCACAACCAAGATCCTTGCAAAACTTCAGTCTGGCAATTGGCTGACCCCACAATCACTTAGCTGCTGCTAAGGAATTTCGTCCACCATCTGATGTGGGCTCAGCTACCACAGAAGACAGACGCAATGAGGAAGGTTCAGAGCAGCAACCTTGTTACTCTGTATAACACTGACACAGGACAGGGAGGATAAGCCCTCCAGCCCTAATCACTGAGGACAGGTTGGCAGCGGGGAAGAGATGAAACCCCAGATAGGCTGTTCAAACAGCTACGATGTCCAAAACAAAACAAAAGCTGAATCTGGAGAATTCGATAACAATGCTGCAAGCTGTGGTTTCACCCTACTGTTTTCTGAAGAACTAAAGAGTTCTTCCTCTGAGTGACAGGAAAGTTGTTACCTGGCTTTGCACTCAGACCCATCTACTGGCGAGGGTGCCATTGTTCCTCTCTGTCTAGGCAAATTTCTTCTGCGTGCACATCGACTGAATTTGCCCATAGCAGAGAAGGCCCATGAAGTCAATTTCAGTCACTTATACAGAGTAAAAACTGCCCATCATGAGCAGTACCAGTTGTTACAATACAGTTTATTAACTGTTTTGCCAACAGCAAATTTACACAAGCTCTTCACAAAGTCTAAAATGTTGTGATCCCACTCCCTGCTCTTGAACCTCCAGCTGAGCAACACAGGTTGGCCACTGTAGGGGAGGGAGGGAGGGAGGCACTTGGCGTTGAGGTCTTGGTTGCGGCCAGAGCTAACACCTACCATGCTGCGATGGATGAGCTTCATCAGATGTGTTTGATGAGGAAGGAGTGGAAAACATAATCTGATTCTTGTCAATATTCTGGCTGGACCTAAAAAATATTTTTTTAAAAAGTGGCCATGACTTTTTTTGGTAAAAATGAAGAAATAGCACATGCAGCGATAGAAAGTGATGGGGGAAATGGTGAGATTGCACATGAGGTTAAGCTTGGAACCAGATGTATGTGAAATTGTAGCAGACATGAAGAGTAGGAATACAAAGCAGACAGGAACAGGAAATTGGAAGACAAGGTATGCAGAACAGAAGTAGGAATACATACAGTGACAAAGGGCGACACAGTTTTAAGACAATTCTGAGCCTCAGATCCCCATTTTGGAAACACAGCAAATGCTTAAAAAAATAGAATCTGAAACCTGGCTTCTGAACCAACTGAGGCACCCATTTCTCTCTAGTCCACAACATATTATTTACAGCAAATGATACCTATAGGTGCCGCTTGCCATAAAAGGGCCACATATGCACACCTGCAGATTCCAGTTGGCAAGTACAGAAACATATCTTCCATACACTGGCAACTTAGCTCTCGTGTCCTTGACTTAAGGCGTTCTTCTGTGCCGGCCACCACCACCAACCTGCCTACCTTGAAGCAAGGGTTGCTGGTGCCTAGTAAGGAAGGAAACCCTTTGGCCTCTTTTAAGAGTTCTGGAGTGCTGATTAGGAGCCCTCGCATGCTGCAACTGCTGGATGACACCCATAAAACCAGCTTGGTTTCAGTCAGGCTGCAATCAAATCTCTATTTATTTGGAAGCCAGACCCACTGAAATTAAATAGGGCTTCTTCGGATTTAAAAACAAAAAAGGGAGAATAGTGTGTTCACTCTTCTAATTCCCACTTGAGGTCTTGTACCACCTGACTGACTCCTCTCAGACGAGGCTATTTTATTCTGCTTGGCTCAAATGCACTGAATTCAGCTTATATTTTTATTTTTAACCTTCACCCTTTGTCTGCCTGGCTTTGTTTACAAGAAGGGATTCTGAAATATGGGCAGATATACAAAGGGATGGCATGGAGAGACAAGGTAAATAAATGATCAGAATCGAAGCAACATTTACATTGGGGTGGGTGTTAGTGCAGCCCTCCAAATGTTGTTGGCTCCCACCCCCTGCTCATCACTATCTCTGCTGGCTAGGGTTTATAGGAACTGTAGTCTAACAACATCTGAACGGCCTGCCCCTGGTTTACATCAACAGGATACTGAAAAAGGAAGATCATACCGTGGACATAGAGCAACTGGGATGCCAGGACCTCTGTGCCGAAAAAGAGCCAGAAGGCAACTGGTAGGCACAGCAAAAGAACTATGAGGTAGCAGGGAGACCGAGAAGGAGGGGTGGACGGAAGGACACAACAACAAGAGAAACCACAAAGGAGGACCATTTGGATGAGAAGAAAGGAAGGTCAGCAGAGGGGGGGGGGAGGGAAAGAGAGAGATCCATCAGTTATTTAGCAATGCGATTTCCAATAACAATGTGAATTGTCAAAATTTGGGTGGGTGCAAATTGACACAAGGTGAAGAAGTGTAGAACGACATTTTCAGATATGGCTGCCTTCAGTTACTATAATCTATCTCAGATTATAGAAATCTATGAAATGGTGTGAAAAGGATACACGCCTTCTTACATACTCTGGCTCAGTTTGGCAATAAGAAGCAGCACACTGATAGAAGTAATTCGAATTTAGTTTTCAGACTCTTTTAAAGTTCCCAGTTTTAATTTCTTAAGTCAATGCTGCACAGAATCAGGTCAAAGTTGTTTGGGGGGCGAACTACAACTTCCAGAAACCTCCTTACTGTTTGGGAGACTCCAGAAGTTCTAGACCCCAAAGGGGTCTTTCCAAACTCCTCACAGAGCAGTGGGAGGTGAGTGTCTGAGGGCTTTTCGGAGGCATTTGGTTGGATTCTGTGAGAAACAGTGTGTTTTGCAGACAGGCCTCAGAACTACACACACCTTGGAACTAATCCAGCAAGCCGCATTCCCATGTTATTAAAATGACAAAATCAATTGAGTGCTTGGATATGTGACAGAAACATAGCACTGTATCTAAACAGGAAACATACACCGAAGCTTTAAGACTGTGAGTCATACACAGAAGTCTGACAGGTCTGGTAGATCCCATTCCATCACAGACTGGCCCAGCATAAAACTTCGGTGTAAAACCAGCTGTCAAGCAATAATAAAGAGGTAGCTACAAACTGCAGTTCTGGCAATTCCCTCCTTGGACTGATTTGGATGTATTCTGGCCAGTTTCTGGTCATCTGCTTGCTGGGAAATGTTTATTACAGTGTTCTCTTGTTCAACTGATTGCAGAGAATCCTCAAGGCTTCCCCTCCCTTCAGGGATCATATCTGCTTACTTTGCAGCTTTTTGTACTACTTCTCATATTAGACCATCCTGCATTCTTCTACACGTTTACGGTATATTCACACTTCAAAAGTAAGCCAGATTGCTTTCTTAAACAAGTGACCAAAGGAGGAGACGATGGGGGCTACATACCCTTCAATGTCTATAAGGTCCTCTTCATTGCGGTAGCTCAGCACATAGAGGGTCGACATGGACACCACACTGAGTAAGAGAGAGAGAAAAAAACAGTCCTCTAAGAAATGCAGGTCTGTAATGTTACTGTAAGACAGGATATTCTTTTCAAAGCAGCCTTGTATTTGTGTGAGTGAATGACTCAGATGACATAAAGCGTTTACTCTGCGGGTTGGGAAGATATCTGAAGAATCACACACTCAGCTGCATACTTCATAATATTAGTACAGAAATCATATGTGGTTGTTCATTGCACTAGTTTATAAAAACCAGAAGTGCGATCTGATTTGGATTGTATTTACTGCAAAGATGCTCTGATAAGTCTAATGATGGGGTAGCAATCCATTATACACAATATAAAACTAAAAAAAAAAGCAATGAATTGGAGCAATGAATATGGTACATCAGGCAGTTTCCTACCTGATGTACCATAGTTCCTATTTGAATTGTAGTTCTCAAGCTATATACTGAGTACTTCAAAGCATCACAACAAAAAAAGGCTCAAATTGTTCATGTTTTTGTTTACTTCACAGTGATTTTTTTCAAAATTTAAGGATACTATTAGCTGTGCAACAGCAGCAATCACTAATAAACTCGCATGTTTTGCTGTGTTCTTAAATGGCACACACACATTTTGTTATATGCATCTACTGTTAAAAATACAGACTTTACTCCTGATAAGAATTCTATTCTAATGTACATGAGATCTAAACCTACCAAAATTATAAGAGTGTAGTGCTGTAAATCTGGCACCTTTGCCTTTTTGTTTTGTTTTGTTTCAGATATTTTGCCCTAAACAAGTAGTGCTTCTTTCTGAATTCTTTCACAGACTTGAAGGTCATCTTCATTCAAATGTGTCTTCTGTAGATTGTACTGAACTCTGTGTGAAACAAGAGCCTCAAAGTGTAGGCGCTCACCTGAAAGCCATGATGATGACCAAGGCAATGATGGTGCCTTGAAGAAAGCGCTGGCTGATGCAAGCTTGGTCTGTCACCACAGAAGGGGGCTGGATAAGACATAGGGAAAGGGAGGGGGGACATCAGGTGCCTGATCAACAGATTTATTTTTGTAATTTTATCTTTTCTCTCTCTCTCTCTCTGTCTCTTTTTTTTGCTTTTTTGTCCCTTTGCTAAGAGATTGCAGAGTAACTCTTCTTTCTACGGAGTCTTTGGAAATGTTCACTCATTTGCGCCAGCAGACAACAAATCTGAAGAATGAAACACCACTACCACATTACATGAGATACTAAAAGTAAAATGTTGATCAAGAGACCGGATCATAAGAGCCGGATGAGGTAAGGATACGGAATGCAAATGCAGGCATTATTAAAAGGAAGCAGACACGAGTCATTGAATGAACTGCTGGCTAAGATAGGAATGAAAGCATAAGCTTAGACTCTAGAAAGAATGCGGGTCAAGAAACATCCCATGTATACACAATTAGGACTCAGCCCACAGAGATCACTGGCTGCAAATGTTTTTATTTGTTAAGAACACCCACCCACACGACAGTAGGATGCTAGCATCTACAGTACATGCTCACATGGGTCCAACACTTGAATAAGCAGCTTCACCCAACATATGGAACTCAAGATCAATACTCCATTCCAACTGCATATCTTCACCATGTATGCTATGAGGAGGCATGCTGCAAATGTCCAGGACATATATACACACATATGTTTGTTTGTTCTGGGCACATGCTCAGCCCAGAAATTTATCTTCAGTACTAGAACTAAGCTCACAGTACTGTCACCATACTGGTTTCAAGGCATTCCTCTGGGCAGCCCAATTTGGGGCAGAAGAAGACACTTTCGTAGTTTGTTGCCATTGTTTAAAATGTCAGAGTCAGAAACCATGCTGAACTACTACAAATCAACCCAAAGATTTACCAGTTGATCTTAACTGATCTTCTACCCACTTTGATGAATAACACCATCTATTTAGATACACAGAACGCAACATGAAGAATCAATACCACAGTTTCCTGCCAAGTGCCAGAACAGCTCCAAACACGCATGCCCCCCGCACATGAGCAGTTGTGAACTTAGTCTGCCATTTACGCCTCTCTTGTACAGTCTTCATACCTTGCTGGCCATTTTGGGAGGCCTCTTTTTGTGTGGCATGCTTCCTGCACGGCTGAACTGGCTTCCTGATTGACTACATTAAAAGGAAAAATAGGATGCATTCAGATAGGCAGTCTTAACACCTTTCATTTCTACTTCTCACTGTCCCACTATCAAACAGTTCCTTGATGAAAAACCATCTGCATAATTTTACCATATCCATACTTATGCCTGTATTTATCTCTCCATTCATGTGGACAGATTTGGAGCAGCTTGACCAAAGGAAAATGGAGAAAACAAGACTGAGATAGGTTCTGTTCCCACAAGGCCCAAAATATCCTATCTCATTCCCATTTTGGAATAAAATGCAGTAGGAGTGTACAAGCAACAACAGCTCACTGCATGTAGTGAGAACTGTAGGAAGATCAGCATCACACGGGATTTCCAAGTCAAGGAAGTTTTCAATTCTTAAGTTAGTAATCTTATCCTACAATGCCATTTCTATTAGCCTAGAATTTAAAGCAGTAGTACTTCAACTGCTATATGAAACAAGGTTAAAATCAACCACACGTCATGTTTCTGTGGTGCCTTTTCTATTCTTCTAGGAAAACATAACATTCTCTGGAATATATTTTTAACCTGTGACTTGCGAATACAGATTCATACACACATTCATCTTCGGGGAATTCACATATTTTACTATTTCTGAAGATCCAATCGCCAAAGCTGAAGAAGGAGCAATTGTGCCTTCCTCCATTATACAGTACCTGCATATTAAGACAAACAACAAAGTTTTTTGTTGCATCTTGAAGACCAGTAAATTCTATTTGACTCATAAGCCTTCACAGACAGCAGTTCTACTTAGTGGGATGCATGGAGTGTAGCCTCAGCTGGCAGGTATTTACACACATACTGTGGTGAGATGGAATGTTGAAGAACACAAAATTAAAAGTTTAAACCTGGGCTTTACCTTTTAGACCTGAAATGGACCAAGACTGTTCATCACATCCATGTGTGGATCTCCTTATCTATGCAAGGATGTTAAAATTCACTAGTATTTAAGATGCCACAAGACTTTGTTGTTTTTTCTGCAACAGATCAATAAAGGCTGTCTTCATGGAAGAAATAGTAACAAGTAACACCTTTTCAGAGACATAGCTGGATGACTTCTTGTGGATTACCATCTGCTTCTACAAATACATGTCCGACTTCGCTAAAATGTGATACAAATACTTTACATCAACTATCATATGGTCAGTGTCCCAAACTGCATAATTTCCACCCACCACATAATGTACAAGAGAGGGAAAAACATGTCCCTTAAAAATAACTTTTTTGGATTATGATTTCAAAATCCAACAGCCATTGCGGTCATAATCTGGATGATGATAGGAGAAAATATCCAAAAAAGTAACTTTCCCAAGCTCTAGGAGAAAGATCATGCAATTTAGCTCTTGGCTATTAACATACCCATAGGACGGGCACTGAGGAAACAGCATCTTATTATTCCTTTAGGGCCACAGGAAGACCCTCAACTTTGGTAAACAGTTGGGCCTACTCAAAGCTCTCTTTGATTTTCCTTTTTTCCTGAGGTCCCAGAGGTGAGGTGATGAAAGGTATTGCCTGTATACTATTTCCCAGAGTCCATTGCCAGTAACATCTCTGGTCTCTGCTACGTCTGTTTACTCAAGCAGTTAGTCTAAACCATGTTCAATGCAGATATGTGTGTGCACAAAACTGCAGCTCAATTGTGACCATCAGTTAACTCTCCCAACAGTCCAACTGCTCAACACTGCCTATTCCAAGTCAAGACTCCAAGGAGGAGGAACAGTAATATAAAATGTTATCCTCAACCCTGCAAAAGGAGTCTGAACTACCTGAACGCTCCAGAGCTCACAGTCGATTTCATACTGTCCAGACGTTTCAGCTTCGCCAGTTTATGGCTCCATCGCTCCAGTTCATCAATCCGGTTCTCCAGGTTGTCAGTCAGCTTGCAAAGCTCTTTCACTGCCCCAACGTTTTCCATAAAAATACGCTCCTGCAACACAGTTCACTTATTTGATGTGATCATGTTCTTTCACTCTACCTTGCTCTTTTAGAGGATGCTACTGCAGTGCTTCTATGAGGAATGGTGGTATTATTATTATTATTTTTTTTAAAAAAACTACTATAAAGGGGGAAACTGCTTAAACTATTGATCTTTTTAATTGAGGAGAAAAGTTGTTCTTTCCACAAAGAAACTCTTGCATATATCAGAACACTCGCATATTTAAATGTTAAATACCTTCTGAATAGACATCCACCAAAATACACTGTGCTTCCCATAGCTGGAAGCTATTGCACAGAGACTTATGGCATAGCAGAGGTGTGGCTTGTATTCCTAAAACTTTTTTTTGTGGGGCTTGCATCTCAGGCAACATGTCTAGCACCAACCTGTGCTTTGCATATTTTCCTGCCAAGCAAACCAACTGGTCAGATTTATTTTTGTTCCTGCCTATTCTGCCTTGCCTCTGTCTACTCAGCCCATGGCCCTGCCCTTCCAAAAACGCAGTTCCTCTAAGACTTTTCCCAAACTGGAATTCCTCCCCAGTTTGGGTTCCCCTTACTCCGAGGAGAAGAGGGTGTCCAAAGAGCTGCCCTTCCGACCGGTCTTTTCCCCATCTCTTTGTACCTTTTCTTCAGAGGGCTCCACTCACCTTATTCACCACTAGGAAGTTCTCAATGGTTTTCCCACTGCTAAAGACCATGTCTCCAGAATCTTTTACTGCTTCTGGAAGTATCTCTCTCACTTCCTGAGCAATGACACCTGCACAAAAAGGGCAAAATACACATGAGAGCTCCACGTTCACTGTCACACTGAGAGATCAGAATGCATTTCCCAGGAGCCCCCAAGATAACTGAGTGAGTTTTGGAAACTCAAAGAGTGCCCTCAAGTTTTATGATATTTTAGAAACTTTCTCTCAGCAGTTCTGTGCAGTGAAGTTCTTCTTCACTTTCAATGCTTAAAAAAAGCTGTGGTTTTGGCATAAAGGCATCCAATAGGGAAAGCTGACACAAAAATAGCACTTGAGCAAAATCAGGTTCCCCTTAAGAAAGTCTTGTGCCAACACCTCAGCTCCAATGAATTCAAGAGGTTGCTGGATCATCTGCCAAAAGAGTATTTGTTTAAAAGAACTTAATCCATTGCGTTTCCCCTCCCTCATGCTGGCAACTAAAATATATTCTATGGAGGAAAATAATAGAAGAAGCAATTGTGACTTCATAATTCTCACACACAATTTGTGTACAGTGGTATATTAGAACACCCAAATGTTTTAACACCTGCGTATCAAAAACATGGGTACAAAGGCATTAGCACTTTCTGTTCTTGTTCAGAAAACAGTGGTATGCCTGCAAGCAAATGTTTGACACATAAAGTGTGTAGCACAGCCTCCAGGAATGAAGGCTGATCACCACAATTCATGTTCCTGTTGCAACAAAAAAGCAAACTCCGGGTCTGAAAGGGAAGTGCTGTACAGAAGTATTTAATAGATATTGATATAAAACTGACACATTTTGGCCACTCCTTTTTCACAAGCTTCTGGCCTTTAAGACTGAAACACAAAACACAAAGTACTTCTCAGCTATTTTGTTGTGGAAAAAAAAACTCTTTCAAACAAGCTAACAGAAGGCTTCCTTCTTATAGAAAAATTCTGCATTGACACTACAAATCTACTCTGAAACACATCAAGCTACCGCCAAACATCTTTGGATAGTACACTACTGGACTATTAAAATGCACCATGGGACTTTCCGTCCCCTAGCGGTCCCACCATTTTGCTAGTTCTACTTGATGTCATTTTCTTGCACCTCCCTTGTCAACAGGACTAAGAGGAACCAACAGCAACACTCAAAAATTATGGGGGATTTTCACTGAATTGTCTTTCACACAATCTGTGACTACAAAATTCAAGAATCTGGATGTCTTATCTTCATAATATCAGAAGCAAATTCCAGATGGCACTTGCCAAATATACAGAAATCAGTATTTCTAAGTGAAGAAACACAGAAGGAAAACACTCTCATGAATGCCCATAAGTGAGACAGAAAAGTGTTTGATCACAAATGCACTGGAACCAATTGATTTGGGTGCAATGACACTTGTCACCATGAATGAAGGCTCAGGTGAGTGAAAGGACTGTACCTGTCTCAGATGTGTTCTCCAGGCCTACAGTGGCAGCAAACTCTGGCTTGTAATTATAGTGCACCAGTCGCATCCGAGAGATTCTCTTCAGCTGCTCCGTGGTGTCCACCTGAAAATGTAAGAAAATACCAAGTGACTCTAACTGCGCAAACTTCCATAGTCCATACAAAACAGCCACCAGATACAGCACACATCACGGCAAGAAGAAGGGCATTACTGGAAATTCGGCTACAGTACAGAGAGGCAGTTTTATGTAGTGGATACAGTGAAAGATTAATATCAAAGAGGCCTGGGTTAAAATTCCCACTTTGCCATGGAAACTCGCCAATATTGGGTGGGGTGGCACTAGCAAAATTGTTCATTAAGTATCTCATACCTTGCAAATTGTATTAGGACTAGTATAAGTCAGGTGCTTATACTAGTGACAGATGACAGAGGCAGATACTAGGCAGTGCCAGATTTTACTTTCTTGGGCTCCATGATTACTGCAGATGGAAACAGCAGCCATGAAATTAAAAGACATCTGCTTCTTGGGAGGAAAGCGATGACGAACCTTGACAGCATCTTAAAAAGCAGAGCCATCACCTTGCCAACAAAAGTACGCATAGTCAAAGCTATGGTTTTCCCTGTAGTGATGTTTGGAAGTGAGAGCTGGACCATAAAGAAAGCTGACTGCTGAAGAATTGATGCTTTTGAATTGTGGTGCTGGAGGAGGCTCTTGAGAGTCCCCTGGACTGCAAGGGGAACAAACCTATCCATTCTGAAGGAAATGGAGTGCTCACTGGAAGGACAGATCCTGAAGCTGAGGCTCCAATACTTTGGTCATCTCATGAGAAGAGAAGACTCCCTGGAAAAGACCCTGATGTTGGGAAAATGTGGTGAGAGGAGAAGGGGACGACAGAGGATGAGATGGTTGGACAGTGTCATCGAAGCAACCAACATGAATTTGACACAACTCCGTGAGGCAGTGGAAGACAGGAAGGCCTGGCGTGCTCTGGTCCATGGGGTCACAAAGAGTCGGATACGACTAAATTATGCAATGTAGTAGCTCATAGCACAATAGACACTACAGGATACACAAAGCACACGGACACAGAGTGTTTTCATCTCAAGATATCACTATATTCTCTGCCTTCTGGTTTCTCTAACTAGGTGAAATGCAATGTTCGAGTGGCGGTGGGGGAAGCTCCAGTTTTCTGGGAGCAAAAATACAACAGTGTCTCAATATAACTGTATACAAACAACTTTTTTTTTACTGTTATATTTTGGTTAAGTCATTATCATCTTGTGCCAATCTGGCAGCCACGATTGCTGGGCAATTCTGGGAGTGTTCATCCAAAAAAGTAACTTTTTCAACTACTGCTTTCACTTCTTGGGTGCAATGGGAAAACTACTGCTGGAAGCTAAATGCTTTTATCCCAGTCCAGTAGGACTCTTTTGTATTCTAAGGTTTCTGTTTGGATTTAATGAATGAAAAGCTCATGGTGATATGATACAATATTTTTGTTTGCTTTCCCTCCACTCCATATGCCTGTGTTAGAATAAATGTCTGTGGGAAAGGTTTGTCTCCTCTTAACATTTATACAGTGTTAAGGGTTGTAGGCAAAAAAAATACACAACAGCAGTATTGACAATGTTAATTCTGTATCTGGTAGTATGTAATCACTTTCCAGTGATTTCTCTAAACTTTGGGAACCTGAACTTATAGGTAAGAGTAGAACATCTCCTACTCCTTATGCAAAGCTATGATTATCAAAGAGACTAGTTTGCTTCCATGGTCTTCTCTCTCTGGCTAGCAATAGGTAGTATCTACCTTCAAGGGAGACACCTGTTTCATGAACAACTTCAGTCCAATGGTACAAATTGAAGGGACTTCTGTGAATGTCTAAAGCATAAGCCTATTGATTAAGGCAGGCAAGGGAACTAGGCAACCTTGCAGGCTACATAGGATCCCACAGCCCAAAAAGCATTTCTTTAGAACATGCCAGGAACTGGAAGAGAATATTTAAAGCAAGTATTCTGCTCCTTTTAAATGCCTTGTAACGATTTGCTGCCAGACTTCAGTGGCAAAAAGCTGAACATCCTATAAAGGCAGCAAAGGTTGGTCTTCAATGGCTCACAGTTGTTTGCTTTAAATTGCTATTATTTATTATCAGTTTCCTTTACATCCTAGCTGGCTCTCCCTGCTCTTTGTTGTATCATCGTATCAACCCTGTGAAGTAGGCCAGGCAAACAGAGTGTGTGAGTGGCCCAAGGTCACCCTGTGAGTTTCATGGCTCAATGTATCTAATGGCAGAGGAGTGAAATCTGCAGTAGGTTGGCAGAAGGGGACAAATTGGCCCCTGGACCTTACCGAGGTAGCCCAGCCATGGATGAAGCTTGCCCCTGTTGAGATCTTACCTCCTGGATGTCATCTTTTACCCGGATGTCTGATGGGTGCATGAGAGATCCCATCACTTTCACATTGCCATGGACAACCAGGGCTTCATCAGGACGGTCTGTGTTGATGCCAACCCGGCCGTGGTGAAAGACAGTGTCAGGGAGCTGAGCCCGCTGCCAGAGAACATCACTGTCGCTCTCAAACTGACCTGGGTTAGAGGCCTGCAAAAGAAAGAGGCCCCATAGGAGACAACCAAATCTTTTTGTATGGGGATAACAGAACATTGTAAAGATAAAATAAAACAATCTAAGGAGGAAAGACTGGTGATTTTAGAATAAGACCAAAGGCAAGGTAAAACTGCTTCCTCTTCCATAAGTGGTGTGTGGGCGTGGGCGTGTGTATTTGCATATTAATATATTTGAATAATTAAAGCAAGGTTTCCCAGACTGATAACAAAGAGACAGACATAATTCCACACTATTGGAACACTTAGACTCTAGGGGGTGACAAGAGGCAGCTACACCAGCACATGTTTATGTGGTAAAGTGAAAGGTACATTACACAGGTGCCTTATTAAGTATTACGGGAATTTCCTCTTTTTTTTTGGTAAGATCTACAATTATCAGCATGAGTAAGAACACACTGTTCTGTGTCCAAGCAAGGAGACAGTGATACAGCATCTGTCAAGACCTACTATGCACTGTAGCTGTACTGTTAGTCTAAACAGTTAAGTTGTTTATAACAGAGAAAAGCTGTCTGATCCAGATTGCTAACTAAGCACAAGAAATCAGCCTGTGTTTACAGACACAGTGAGATAAATGCCCTTTCGCAGTCCACAGCAGAAAAGATATGTTGCAAGCCACCTTCTGCTCTCCTAGTGGAGAGAAAATGTTTGAGGAAATCTGCTAGGCAAACTCTCAAAAGATTGCCAGAGAAGTTATAGGGGTAACCTATAGGAAGTTATGGCGATTACTGTGTGATGAGCCAACCCATGCAAAGGAACGGAAGATACCTCTAGGGAATACATACAAGCAATCCTCAGACACACTTCTCCCCCTTCAAATACCAGCACACACCCTTCATCTAGCCCAAAGCTGTGCACTCACACTCAAAACATATCCCAAAGTTAAGAGTAAAATTCAATGAATCCCCTTTTCTCTTCTATACTCCCTTCAAAACACATGACAGAATGGCTAGTTAAACAAGGTGAGAGAAACTAAAATGCCATTTATCAATGTTTCTAAGCCTTTAGCCCTCTCAATATTTGAGACCAGTTCCCAGAAGCCCAAGCCATCATGCCAAGGGTTTGGTATCTGGAGTGCTGAAATCCAAAATATCTGGAGGGGCAAAAGTTGAGAACCCGTCATTTAGAGTTTAGAAAGTAGAAAGGAAAGAACAAGCAGAGCAATATGGAAGAAGATTCCATCCAGCGAATCCCCAAATTATCACACAATTCTGTGTGTTTAGGGAACAGGCACAGTTATGTACACGGCTCCAATACACATAGAAAACCAATTCTAACCATAACACTGTCATTTGGTTTCAGAAAATTATGCCTTTGTGGGTGGATTCACCGTAGCTGGACTGAATTCAGGATGAAGTTCTGAACAAACATCCCTCATTTGCAGAGGGTCAGGTCTTTTTTACATCACAGAGTTTCAATTACAGATCTAATAAATACAGTGAGTAGCACCTGGGTCGTGTCATTCCTTTTTTAAAAGAATGAACATGCCCTTAGCCTAATGCTAAGTACCATCACAAGTGTGTTTATGAGAACACCATGGACAGACTTCATTGCAAAGTCCTTGAGGCAGATTCAAAAAAATCTTCTTTCATAGATCTGTTGTGCTGCATTAGTCCCTCCAATCTCCATAATCCAGGCAAGTAACCCACAAGGACATGTATCATAGGACACAGATCATGGAACAGGAATATTCTAAAGCAAGGCTGTAGATTTTGTAGATTCATGTAGAACGTGAATCCACAAAGCTGAGTAGAAGTCTTTGGGCCCATTGCTGAACAAAACTCTTGTTAGTGCTTCTCACCTGAATTCCAAAGGTACTGGAACTCTTGAGCATCTGTTTGGATAAAATTTTTTATACTGAATGCCTACGTTTTCTGACACATCATCTCACACACTCAGTTGGATACTCTGAAGCCCAACTAAGTTTGCGATGCCACAATCGGCTTGTTATTTAGGATGGCAAAGGTAGGAAATTGTTTTGACTGCTCGAGCTGTTTATATAGTCCTTTTCAATCACAAGAACCACTAGATTAAACAGAGGACCACCTGAATACCACAATTTCCAGCAATGTATGGCCCAGAGTTTGGAAAACATTTCTGGCTGGGAGATTCTGGAAGTTTTTTCTTTTTAAAAAAGTTGCTAGCTCTTCTCTTAAACACGATTCTCCCTTATTATTATTTTTCTTTATTCAGAATATTTCCATAACATCTTCACCAAAGTTCCACAGTGGATTACAATAATAAAACCGATGGTGGAAATATAATGCAAATGGGGAACCAAAGGGTAGCAACTAAAATACAGTAGGGCAGACTAGCTTTTCTTTATTTCCCAGAACCTTTCTTTTGTTTAACCTCTAGTTGTCTACAAATGCCTTTGACATTTTCTTAGGAAAGGAATTCTGTAAGTATTGAGGCTCCTAAAGGGGAAAAAAAAGCATCTTCACACCTGGAAGTTTGAGGACAATTAAAGTGTACTGACTACCTGAACACTATGAGTGCGGTCAAGTAGACAAGGGTTTCTCCACAGGGTCTGTCTACGAGTCTCTTGCTTGGATTCCTCCTCTGCCACAAATGGAGTGGCTATGCAGTTGCTTATTATCATCTTTTATCTTCCAGATCCACCTTTAAAAACTTCCTATTTCGCGAAGCCTTAGTACAACCTTCCAGTCCTTTATACCAGGGTGTTGTTAGGCATAAGGCTTACAGGATCTTTGCTTTTCACAAAGAACCTCAAGGTCCACCAACCACAGCCCTGGTGCAAAAGAGTGGCTCAAACACTTGGAAATATTGGAATTAAGAAACAGAGCACCTCTGAGGACATTGTCCAACCCAGGAACTTGGGATCAGTACCAGAACCAAGTTCACAGGTCCTTTCATCAATCCATTCCTAGTTTCCCCCCTGGCATTCTTTTCTGAAGGTGAGGAGAACAATTACTAGTTGTTGCTTTTGCTAGAGAACTGTGAATCAGAAATCCTTGCTGATCTACTGCAAATTGCACTGATATTTTCCAGCAGCTGTCAAATTGCTGCCCAAGTCTGCTTAATACTAAAATGAAACAAAATCTAATTACATTTGTTCACATTTATCCCATGTTCCCCTAGCACTTCCTGTTCCTGATTCGTCTACAGCACTGACGATTTTTGGACTGCGTCAGGTGATACCTTACTTTTCTTTAAGAACCCCTATACATTGGTGGTGTTACGTAAGTACTGTTATCTCAAATGTAAATTAATAATGAAGCACCTTGCAACTAATGTGTCTGTTTACCAGGAAACAACATGGCCTGACACTGTTTTTCACACTGAGTACATGCATTTCATAGCTGCTCTGGTGTCTGTTACAGATCATGCAAATCAGCTGTGCAACTGATGTGCAACCAAGCCACATATTTACAGTGATGCAGACAGATTGCTGGTTTCATTATGCAGCTAAGCTCTGCTCAGAGTGGATGAACTTCTCACCTGCCCTGGTCCCTCCCATCTACAGCAAAGCCCCCCCCCAACTCCACCCCGGAGACTGCATAGTTCAGCATGCTACTTACTTGTCTGCAGACTCCGGGGTCCCCGTCCGCCCTCTGTTTGTGTTTTACCCCCGAACCGGCCCTTTGCTAGAGGAAATGGACACAGCACTTAAAAAGGCAGCAGGGCGGAGACAGCCAACCACAAAGTCACAGCCTAGTGTCCTCTTTATTTGCTAAGAACCTCCAGTTGTGTAACAGCCCCTAGCAAGTTCTTCACATGTCGTTACCCAAGTGGTGCCTTCTAAAATCCAGGAGACCAATCCATTTGGACTCCCAGTAAGAAGTCCAGCTAGTTCTGAGAGCATTGATTTCAAAACTGGCATGTGAGGGGACAAAAATAACACCTGGTGGTGAGTGGGGAGGGCTAGGGATAAATCTCACGGGCTCCTACCCCTAGGAGAAATTTGCCACATAACATCCCTACAAGTTCTTCTCATCTGCTCCCAACAATCCCTTCCCAAGAACCTTAAGCCATATGTCTGCACAAATGCAATCTTGTGGGTTGGTTTAACAGCAGCAGCATGCTGATGAGCATGTGCCCCATATCAACGGTCCTGTGGCTTGGGCCAGTGGAACAGGGCGGCACGTGGATGTGCACTCTAAATACACAGAATAGCATAGTCAGAGTTGACAACTGAACCAGGTCACCACTGCAATGCCTGCAGCTTTCATCCCTGCACATGTTTCCACTTTGGGAACAAGTAAACCCTGAAACGTACTTGGTGCTTTCGCAAAGGGCCTTTTCTGGAGCAGAAAGGGTGGGAATGCAGAAAGCAAAACTGGAGTCAGCTACAGAGAGGCTATGGACAGAAAAAAGGGCAGCAAAGAAAGCTACGGAATCAGGCACAGTTTGATATCTGTGGTAAGAATGCCAAGGAACCCCACACAAGTAATGTACATTGCTGTGAGTATTACAAGGAGAAAGAAGAAAAGAGAGACTTACTCTAACAATGATGCGCTCAGAGATATGAGCAGCCAGAGTATAATTCTGGTTCTGGGCATAAGCTTGCAAGGCCACAACCAACATGAAATACCTGGAAAGGAGACAGTGGATTGAAGAGCGGATGAACACAGAGGCTCTCTATGACAACCAATTTGCTGAATCCCATCAGGGAGCATCTCAACCCAGCTGGACATAAAGTCCATTTCCTAGTAAATATCATTTTTTTTTCAAAATCACAGAAAGTGGTAAAGCAGGGGATAAAATGTTTCCACTGTCTTAGCAACATGAATGGCTATCGTTCATATAAAAAAGCTCAACACAATTTTGATGATAGGCAAATTATTGAACTCAGTGCAGTATACTAGTCAGAAAACCAGCCATGGAATTATGAAACACAATTAAAACTGGTGTCTCAAATTCTCTTGTGCTTTGAGGGGAAGGTTGTTGCTAGAAATTATTTGAATTGGGCCACCACTCGGTGTACCGCATTCTTCTGCAAAAGTCCTCTAGCAAACCTTACTAGCTTAAAAACAGTGAGGGGCTTTGCTCTAAGCCCTTGTCTTCTGGACTGAGAATTTGAAAAGTCCACTGGGGTAATATTCTTTCAAATATACATAAAAATGCTGAAGGACTGAATGAAAATTACTAAAAATCTGCTTTTTACTTATTCATCTAAATTATAAAATTAAATCTCAGCTATTAAAGCCTCAACAACATACCCTGTTTCCCCGAAAATAAGAACTAACCTGAAAATAAGCCCCAGTATGATTTTTCAGGATGCTCATAATATAAGCCCTTCCCCCAAAATAAGCCCCAATTAAGTGAAACCCCACCTTCCACAAGCAACTCATTGTGCAGAAACCAGAAGGAGATGATATGACTGTATTTGAATAAATGTAGATGAAAAATGTTGTACATGAAAAAAATAAAACACCCCCTGAAAATAAGCCCTAGTGCCTTTTCGGAGCAAAAATTAATATAAGACCCTTTTTTATTTTGGGGGAAACAGGGTATTTATAAGCACTGAATTTCCTTTGCCTTGAACATGAAGTGGTTTTACATTTTGTGGCTCAGAAACAGCAGCCTGTGCAGATATATTTGTTCTTCTTGGCATAAACAGCATCTACACCACGTGCACTAAAATTTTACCCATTTATCATCACAAAGGCTAGCCACACTTTAGGCAAGCACTTTTAGAACCGAATAAGGCTGTGCTAGTAGTGTGATCAATTTTTTTCCTGGGTCTCTCCTCAAGTCTCTGACTGTGGCTACATGGTCAAATATTGTGGGATTGTCTTCACTTATAAAAGAGGCAAATTTGAAGATTTTTTTTACTGACCACATGACACAAAGACTGATTTGAATCTCAAAGAGGTTTTTTCCATCTGCCACTGGGAGCTTCCACTTTTTCATACCAGAATTATTCAAACAGGCTTTCCCCCCATGTAGTTAGTTGTGATACGTTCTTGCAAAGATTGGGGGGGGCATATCTGTAGGTGGAGTTTCAGTGACACACAGTGTGGCATGATGTTCAGGAACATGCCCCTGCATTATCTAGAAGTTGAGTCATGGCAACTGGTGGGGGAACATGCCCCTGCATTATCTAGAAGTGGAGTCATGGCAACTGGACTTCTTTCTTATTAGGTTGATACATTTCGTTACTCATGCAAGTAGCTTCTTCAGTCCTTTGTCCTTCTAATGAGCCTATTCCGACAAGGGGGAAGTGAAACCAACATGGAGGATATATCAGGGATCTCCTGCCAACTCTCCTCAGACTGAAGAAGCTGTTTGGAGGAGTAGTGAAACATTTCAACCTAACAAGAAAGAAGTCCAGTTGCCATGACTCAGCTTCCAGGTAACTTCACCTGGATGACTGAGAATCTTCACAGATATATGCCCCTGCATTTTTTCCTCTTCCCTGGTTGTTCTCTGAATTTTTCTAATATTATTTTCAGATTGGCAGAGGTGGGACTAGAGGGAGGGAGGGAGGAAAGAAGGGGGCTGTGGGCTGGAATGCAAATCACATTGCATCCAGTATGAACAATGAACTCCTGAATTTATCTCCAGCCCCTGTGTGAGCACTTAATGCAATTTCATAGTTGCATCCTCTGTTCCTTTTCTCTTCCTCTCTCTCCAGAGGAGAAACAGCATTAATGTGGGGTAGGAAGTGGGAGTAAACCATTTTAGTCAAGTTTACATTTAGCCAATATAAGATGCAAATAAGTATTGAAGCATCACTAGTGAAGACAGAAGACCTTTGATCACCAATAGAAGAGGTAGACCTCTGCTTCACTATAACATAACTCACCCACAGTGATGTGCAGGTAAATGGAACATGAAAGATCACTACACTGCTGCCCTTCTTACATCAAGAAGAAACTGGTTTCACATTTTCCCGTGCTTTAACTTTCAAAAGTGACAGCATTTTTAAGCAAGTTTCATATGTCCTTTTTAATTCTGTAATGTTCCAGTATACAGTATTTTATTTCTACTATTCTAGTGATGTAAACTGTATTAAGGGCAACATACACATTCATTAAACAAAGCAAACAGATTGCAGCTTCAGTCATGGGCTGTGTGAGAAAAAGGGGCAGCACATACAGGTCGTTACCTCTGATCAGGATTTGGCTTGCCCTTCTTCCTCATATTATTGGCAGTGGTCTCGCTGAAGTGCAGCCGCCCCACAGTGACCTTTGTAACCTGTTCTGGAGGTAAATTGACCCTGAAAAAGAAAAAGAAAATATAGCCTCTGTCCAGAGAAGTTCTGCTATTCTGACTAGGTATAAACAGGGTGCCAAAAACTCAAGAGTGTCCTCATAGTGTGGAAGGAATCTGTACTCCAGTTGAGAACAATAAGCACAGCTAAGGTTCCAGTGACATCAACTGGGGATTTCCACCCAAGTTGAGAGAAAGAGCATTGCACTGCTCCCATGTATTGAGTTGAATAAGTGGTCATTTCTGTGTTGAAGTGGTAGCACTTCCAAAGACTGAACAGGGAAATTACAGAGTTTGTATGCCCAATTTTGTATTAAATCTCATGCTATGTTACATACTGTATGTTACTTTGTAAGTTGGCACATAAATGTTTAGTGGTTTTGCTACAACAAAGTACCCCTCTGGAAACCTTTCCAGGGGTAAAGTGTCTGCAGGAGTCAGATTAATTTACCAGATCCAACATGTGCAAACTACCCTGACTCATGTCTGATAATCTCTTGCCAGCACACAAATTAGAGTAGGGCTTGAGTGTACAAATGGAGAAGTATTAGAAACTGTTTTTCACTCTTCTGTCCCTACCTCCAGCCCCCATCTCACACACCCTCCTTCACCCTGATGCCTAGACAGTACTCACATGACAGGATTAAAGGGCCGTTTGCTCCGGTCGGATTGTGACTGTTCTATGTTGATGGACTGGTTCAAGGCCTCCAACTGAAAAGAAAGATCCAAACTCATTTTAAAGAGAACTATCACAATTTTACCCTGCCTTATGGTCTGTTTCCAAGTACATGTATTCTGAATTGCCCCACTTCATTATGAAATGCTGCAGCGACATGACCTGGGAGGAGCCTAATGACTAACATTCAGTATATATGGCATACTTTCTTTCCTCTTTTCCAGCTATAAGTTTGGAAGAGGGAGGGGATGAGCAAGTCAAATTGGTTCTTTTGCTGCTTCTCAGAGAGAAACATGCTTATTATGTACGTGCATACATCTAAAATCAGACATTCATGCTTACAGAAAATAATCTTAGGGTAACTGTTTACTATTTTTCAGTATTAGCAACATTTGATTTGTTAATATTAAACTTTTGCTCTCGAGAGTCTAAAAAGGTTTTGAAGTGTGGTTTCTAACAATTCAGCCAGATTCATAAAATAGTTTCAAATTGTAATACCACGAGACATCTGTGCTGAAGTAAGTGGGGAAGTTATATTATGAAAATCCCTCCTTGGACTTCAACATGGAAACATATGGATGTTTTGCTAGGGTTTGATATTCTACAAGCTGAGGCAAATACATACACAAGTGCTGATAGCATAATTCTAATAGGGCCAACATGCATCTTACCTGTTGGCCTTACCATAAAATCAAATTACTTTTTTTTCTACAGTAACTGAAAATTTTTTAAAAATACAGATGATAAACTGTCAATCATCATTGATTATTTTATTAGGATAAACAAAAGGTGTGAACTAAATAGATGATCTAAAAATTGTGAGACATTACTAGTACATCTAGCAATTAGTTCTAGATGGAAGAAACATAATTCACCTTCCACTGATAATTGGTGCTTACAAATATACAACATTTGTTACATAATCAAGGTTACAAATTTGACTGAAGTTAAGAAATGAGAGGCAGAGTGTTTAAAATTATGCATAGTGTAGAGAAAGTAAACGGCACAAAATTCTTCTCATCTCATACAAGAACCTGAGGTCCTCCAAAGAAACTAAATGGTGGAAGCCTCAAGATGGATAAACAAAAACATGTCATGCGGAATACAGCTAAAGTATGGGATTTGCTAATGTAGATTAGACAACCTCACACCAGACAGGGCTATCAATAAGCACTAGTCGTGATGGCTATACCCTGCCTCCAATATCAAAGGCAGTAATGCCTCTGAATATCTCTTTGAGGAATATGAGCAAGGCAGTGTCCTTCTTGTGGGCTTCCCATAGGCGCTGGGACTACTGGACAAGACAGGCCCTCAGGCCTAATCTAGCATGGCTCATCTTATATTAATCATTATGAGGAAACATAGTTACGCAAAATAAGTCACTTTAATCCTATGTATGGGCGGAGGGAAGACTCATTTGCTTAAATTCTGATCTAGCACCTGATTAGAAGGCTGCTGTTCATCCAAACCAGGCAATATCTTTAGTTAAGATATTGTATATTTTCTTATTACGACTTTGCTTCACTACACTGGAAACTGCCCTGGGATAGACATTATGAAAGGTGGCACACAAATGCCTTTAAATAAATTGCTATAGTGATTTTTAGTTGCTTATTTTAAAGTACTTTTTAAAAAAAAGTTATCAGGATCTCTGGAACAGAGATGGGGACTCAAGTTGCAAGACTTGCTGTCAAGTCCAACTTAAGTTGCACCAGTGACTCCACTTGGTTTTTCTCCCCCCCCCGTCCCCATAACTCAGATTCGACTCACGACTTGAAACCTACCACCCCTCCTTTTTTTCTAAGAAAAAAAACTTGATTTAATATGGACTTGGGGCTTAGGACTCTGGATTTGGTACCAAAGACTCGGACCCAAATACTTGGTCAACATCCTCGCTCTAGAAACAGTGAAAGATTATTTACATTAAAAGCCCAGATGCATCACTATTCCGGGAAAAGCAAATAAACAAAAAGCCCCACTGATGCTTGTTAGGATCCTAGGAATAAAAGTTCAGGCGTACATATCTAGTTACACTAGCAAAATCACATTTTAGCCCCAGTTAGAGTTATTGAAACTGGTTCTAATTCTGGTTAGAATTAAAATTGGATTTGGCCTATTAAACATTCTCTTTATTTTTTTTCTCTGAAATGATATTATCACAATTCTTAAACTCTGGCTCCCGGCAGAGTCACACTGCTAAGGTCTTCACAGGCACAGCAGACACTTTCTCTAAAATTCAGACCACCTCTCACTAAACTACCCTCTGTCTCTTCAATTATTGCAGGTCCCCACATTCAAACTTGCCTTCACACCATGAAGTTTCAGATAGAAGCATTCAAGTGGCTTCAGGCCTTCAGGAGTCTTGACGTATTTAGGATCTCCAATCATACCGATGTATACTGTGACCTGGAAATGATTCTTCTTCTGGCACACAAAAGCATCATCACCCACAGAGAAATTGAAGCCTTTATCTGCATCCACCCGGTATGTGGGCATAGGTCTGTTACAAAGGAACAACAGGACAAGACAACATTCACTGGCCAAAAGAACAAATGGGGCCCAATGAAAGCTCAAGGTACGTATCTGCAATAGGAAATAGTCATCAACCTTATAGACATTTGCTCCTGTTCTCTCTTTGTAATAAGGAGAGAGCCGTTACAAGACGTACAAACTACAGTGGTCCCTCAACTTACGACTGTCCCTACTTATGACCATTTTGAGTTATGACCAGCTATAGCCACAAAATTTTGCTTCTACTTGCAACCAGAGCTTCCACTTACGAACAGAAAAAGGCAGGAGAAAAAGGCAGGAAATTCAAATTGCTAACTGTAGGTGGCGACAAGGCTGCTTCTTTGTAGCTCTTTCGCCCCAGCAGTTAGAGAGTGTGCCTTGGAGGAGGCTTGGGACTGCCTCCTTCTGCTTCTGAGTGAGTGTGTGTGTGTGTTTGCAGGGAGGCTTTGGGCTGCCTTGTAAGGTAAAGTGCTGTTTTCTCCTTTTTAAAAACTGTTCTGGGTGTTTTTGCAGCATGGTTTTGAGCTGGGGGGAGTTTATGTTTCTGTACTGTGATGGGGGTTTGTTTGTTTGGTTGGTTTCCCCCCATTTCCGATGGGTCTTGGGGGGTTGTTTGTTTTTTGGCTTCCCCCCATTTCTGATGGGTTTGGGGGGTTTTGGTTGCTTTTTTGGGGTTTCCCCCCATTTCCGATGGGTCCTGCATGCTTCCCTTGCTTTTTCCTTTGTTTTCTTTGCATTTCCGACCTGCCCCGTTTGTTCTCTCTGCATTTCTGCTCTGCTCCGTTTGTTTTCTGTGAATTTCCAATGGGTCTTACACGCTTGATTGCTTTTCTCTCCCCCCCCTTTGGCCAGAAGGGATTGATTACGTTTCCAATGAGTCTTGCAGTGATTTTTGTGTGTGTGTTTTTTTCTTCAGCTGGAACGGATTAATTGCATTTCAATGCATTCCTATGGGAAATGGTACTTCGACTTATGACCATTTCGAGTTACGTCTATCTTTTGGAACAGATTGTGGTCGTACGTGGTGGCACCACTGTACATACATCTCCTGCTATCAGAGAATATAACACTTTTCTGGAATAATAACACATGCTAAAAAGCAAAGCCTGGCCTAAATCTAATTCCTAGCCCTCAGTAGAATAGAGCCATGAATCAATTATCCACTAGATATTTTATCTGAACAGGTTTCTCTGCCCTGTCTCTGACTGGGCACCCATAGGAAGAGGTGGGACTTGGAAGCGCTGAATGCCTGTTCGGATGAAGCATGAACTGGTACGAATCACTGAACCAGCAGTTTGTGCTCATCTCTGTTATCCACCAGTAAATCAACATGTGTAGCCAGTGTGGGATAGGAGACATGGATTCAAATCCTTGCTTGGCCATGAACATTCACTGGGAGATGTCAGTGGCCAGCCCCTCCTCTAACATTTCAAACACTGTGAAAACACTATTAGGATCACCATAATTTAAAGAAACACTATTAGGATCACCATAATTTAAAGAAAATTAATTGATTGCACATAAGAAGAACAAACTTAACACTTCTGTAAATCAATGGCCCTACTTTATTTGGAACCAGCAATTGGGTTTAGTCTGTGCTCTCCCGATCCCCCCCTCTTCCTAATATGTCAGCTGGGCACAGGGCAGCTAACAAGCACATCCAGTTCAGTTCCATTCATGAAATGCTCCATTTATGAAATTGATGATGCAAGAACCCTGAAATATTTGGTTAACTTTGAAACTTGGGATGCAAATTGGAGCTTTATCATACACACTGGCTGTCAGTTGGCTTCTGGGGGCAAAACCAAAGTGTTGATTTTAACCTGTAAAAGTCTAAGTGGTTTATTGTTGGGTTGCTTATATTGATCTAGCTGAACCCTAAAGACATTATCTAGAGCCCACCTCTATGTGTCCTTGCTGAAGGAGGATGGCTATGAAGGAGACAGATCTTTCAGTAGTGACATCATCCACTGAAATGGATGCCCCTCCCAGAGACGCTTGCCAGGGACCTACAGTACATTGTGGTATTTTTAACACTACATTTGTTTTCCCAGCAATGTTAGAAATTTGTGTGGCTTTGACTGATCGTTAGAGTTATTAGATGACTTCAAAATGTACTTTAAAGAAGAGAGAGAGAGTGTAGGACATTGGAATAGATGGGCAGCTATATGGAGCTGGCTGTAGCATCTTGCTTTTTATGTTGTAACCCAGATCTCCACTGTACACCACATTTGATTTTAGAGGGTTAGGCTAGGGAGAAGAAGATGCAAGCCCTGGTCAGTGTTACAGAATGCAGTTTCTTCAACCAGCTGGGGGGCGTGTATCTAGCCCTGCCATCTCCATCCCAGCCTTCTTCATGTAATGTCTCATGGGACTGAAGAGGAGAATTTCTTGGTTGCACACAAATGCTCAATGTAAGCAAGAAGACTGGGGAAGTGGTTGGAGTGAGTGGGAATCAGAAAAAGCCTAGGAGGAAAAACCTCTCCTCTTTAGACTCACAAACCTCACCTGAAGAAAGCTGTGATGGAGCAAGCACGGGTAGACACTCCCTCCCAAACTGCATTATCTAGCCCTTGAAGAGGGTCAGAGTCTACCAAGGACTGAAGCCAGAGTCTGAAAACATGAACTGGGACCTGATCTAACCCATTGTATTTGCCATTTTTTCCATTTAGAGAATGAATGAAAAACATTTTAACACAAGATTTCTCCTCTCATACCTATCAGTTAATACTGTTTCTCCTACAGTCCACGAGGAAAAAAAGTGATGCTGCTGTTTCCAAAAAGCAAGAGAGATCCACTATTCCCTCACTAATTAACACCTCCCCTCTACCGCCCTGAGTAGACATTGTCTAGAGGGGCAGGGTAAAAATATAATAAATAATAAATAAATAAATAAACAAGACAATGATTTTTTTTGCTGGTAAGTCTCCCATCTGAACTGGATTTTTTAAATGTATCACTGGAGCCTTTCCCTGATGAGACCCACCCCTTCAAAGTAACACATCTTGGTGTGCCATAATTCTTGTTCTAAAACAGACTTGCTTCTTACAACTTACAGGGCTTCTCCTCCTCCCTTCCCTCTCCAATATTAGTACATCGAAAGTGTATGTACTTAGGATACAAAGCAGCAGCAGTTCAGAATACCAAAAGGAGTGTGTGGGGGGAAACAACCCACGTAGCAGCTGGGGAGGTTTAATCTATGTCTCCTTAATAGGCTAGTTGTCATGGAAACACTGAAAATATGTGGCTTTTCCTCATGCCCCCCCTCCCCACATTCAACCCATAGCCCTTGAGATGCTTGGTCCAATCTATGGGGAAGGCCATTCTAAGAAAGGTTTGCTCACAGAATGAAACAACCATATAAACAGGATATTGATGGATGTCACTGGACAACAACCAAGTTGTGAAAGGAAAATTACACTTTGTGGCCCTGCATGGCACAATTATATTGGCAGCATTTGTCAGAGGAAGTGAGTAACCAAAATTTATTATTATTACTATTTTCAAATCTAGAAAAAAAAGTAATTATTTCCATTCTAAGTCACTTCTTCAATGGTTCCAAGTGTAAGATGGCCTTTCAGATGACTGCAAAAAGCACCTAAAGGGCTGCATCTCCCTGGTATAAACCTTATTCACCCAAAAGAGTTTATAAGAGCCACTCATGTTTCTCAGCTTGCTCAGCTTAAGTTGCAATGGGCTTATGGTACAGCAGTTGCACTTCCTCAAGTAAATTAATATTTAACAGATTTATAAAGTGTCTTGCCATATTTAACCCCCCAGAAGAGCACAGAAGAGAAGATTTGAACCAAAAATGTCACCCCAGTGACAGAGACAATAACACGAGGGATGAAAAGAGATTTGGCAGAAAACAGAAAAGAATGGTGGTTTTTCTGGATGTCCTGCCACAGAGACAAGTGGGATAAATGACAAGAATCCATTGTGGTCATGAATTTTCAAGACACTGTGCAATGTTCTTCCAAGCGCAAGAATAGCACTTCAGTATTTTGCCTTGATTTCCAGAAATCAGAAAGCCAGCCTTGTGCCTGCTGATGATCTTCCTTAGGCATGCCAGCAGCAACTGGATAAACTCTGTGTGCTGTCAGCACCCTCAAGTTGTGTGAACCTGGCAGGATCTGTAAAGAGCCATTTTAGTTCCTCCTCGTTGCAACAGGGGGACCCTGAACTGCCAGAGATGTGCCCTGAACATAAACCAGATGGTGGTCACAGAGCAAAGCTACCTTAGCCAGAAAGTATGAGAGGAATTTTTCTCCCCCACTCACCCCTTTTCTTTGAGTTTTTGGTGATTCATTTTGCCATTCTTTCCTTCCTACAGAATTCTGCTATTTTACATTATGCCCCATATCCAAAATATTCTACTGCAAAAAAAAAAATTGACCAACTAACAAAAGAAACTATTTTCGCCTCACAACTTGCCTCTTTTTAGACCCACTTGGAGTGACTGTGGCTTTTGTGTGCGGCTGAGATTGCAGCAGACTAGCCACTTCCTAGTGGCTAAGAGAGAAAGAAAATGCAGGAAGGAGAAGAAGGAAGTCAAACTCAGTGGTTTAGGTATCTGGCGGCAGAGCTGCAGGTTGGGAGTTCCAATTCTCCACTGTGCCCCAATTCCCCCCCTGTGCCTCCTTGACAGGAGCTGGACTTGATGATCCGCAGGGTCCCTTCGAGCTCTGCAGTTCTAAAATCATTACATTATTATTATTATTATTATTTTTGAGTACAGTGAGTCGAGCTGAGATGTCCAGCGCTCCGTCTCATCTCTGCAGTTCTAAAATTATTATATTATTATTATTAGAAAGCAAAGAGGAGTCTCTCAAACAAATTACATATCTCTACTGCTCAATCAGGACAACTCCTGTCAAACACACATTTGAAAATTGAATGGTGGCACTCCTCTGCCGACTTTCTAGGAGAGAAAGAAACATTTGGACTCAGAAGAAAATGAGTCTTTCTATGCTCAGTTCATTGTAGCTC